GTGGTTAAGGTTCAAAAGCTTTAAAAGTTGTTGCATGTGCTTGGAAGTCCTTTACGGCTGGATGTAGAAGCAGATGGGCTGTCTCACTGCCCAGGTGGTGTAGTTCTAAGACTGCTGTGAAGGCCTTCTTCCCCATGGGTCCCGACCAGAGTACCTAACATTCTTCTTCTTTTAAGTCTTCAAAGACTTGTGTTAAAATGCAGATACTTTTCAGAGCCAAAGTATAACAACAATCATAGTCTAATAGTTTAATACTCTTCTTACAGAAGTAAACCACTTTTGGGTAAGTGCTGTATCTAGTATTGAGGCATCCCAGGTGGCACAGTATTAAAAGAATCTGCCTGCCAAGGCAGGAGGTACAAGAGATGCGAGTTTGGCCCCTGGATCAGGAAGATCCCTTGGAGGAGGACATGGCGACCCACTCTAGTATTCTTGCCTGGAAAATTCCATGGACAGAGGAAGTTGGTGGCTACAGTCCATGGGGTTGCAGAGTCAGACACAGCTGAGCATGCACGCATGCATGTCTAGTATGGCAGGTGGTTTTTGATGGGTGCCTGAGGTCAGAAATCACAGAGCTCAAGGTGAGCTTTGGCTTGCTGTATAGTGTTAAGAACGCATCACGTAGAAGGTATTCGGTGTCATATTATACAGGACACACCCTAAGAATAGAAATCATCCCTTTGAGAGGGCTTGTAAGAAACAAAAGACACAGTACGTGGCTATGGAGAGACTGTGTTCTCTTAGGAAAAATAATGCTTCCCTTTATGAATATTTAACCACCTGATTTCAAATAGAACCAGGCAGGGAGCAAATCTCAGTTCCAAGTACCAATAAAATGTGCAATAAGATTTGAGACAATGAGACCCACTGCCGTCAGGCTGATAGGCAAGCAGCGCCACAAGGGAGGTGAGATTTGGACCGGGCTTGGCGGTGAGAGAGAGCATGTGGGTCAAGAAAGCAGAGCCAGTGTTTGGGGGAGGGGGGTTGGCGGGGACCGCAGAGAGGGGCAGGGAGCCAGGTTTGGCATGAAGGTCAGTGGGCAGGAGGGGTGGGAGGGTACAGGGTGCGGATGGTGGAGCATCTCCAGTTCCTTCCTGAGGATCCCAGAAAGGTAACGAGCAAGAGAGGGATGTGACCAGTCTTGTTTCAGACCATTCTAGCTTAGAAGTGAAATGCCGAAAGGATGAGGAGAGTGGAACTTCGGTGTCCGGAGGTCGAATGTGAGGCTCATACAGATGACAGGGAGGAGTCAGGAGGGGTGGAAAGGAAGCAACAGATGTGAGAGTCACCGGGAAGTTAGAATCACCCCGTCTTCATTCCAGCCCTCTTGCCGTAAACCACGGCTTTACTAATTTGAGGAATCAGTGGAGTGGAGCCCAGCCTTCCAATGCCTGTCTCTGGAGTCAGGGTCAGGCGCCTGGTTCACATTCCCAGCTCTTTCGCTAACTTAACCTCTCTAAGCCTCAGTTTTCTCGCTAGTAAAATGGGGAGGAGGGTACATACCACACAGGGATGTTGCAAAGGTCAGCTGAGGATAGGATGGTTGCTGTGTTGTATTGAGGGGACACAAAGCCGGAGCTTAATCGAGGAAGTAGTTGCATTTTTCAGAAGCATTTTGAGGCATAAAACTCTCATTTTAATTTTTTCTACTTAGGCTGACGTGTGAACTGTAGTTAACTAAGTACCCCACCCTCATCCCGTTTTCTGCTTATCCTAACCACCGGAGAACCCAGTGAATACTGTATGTTTCTGATAGTTCTGTGTCTGATCATGCGCACCGAACGCATGCTTTCGGTTGCTTTCTTTCTTTCTCATTTCTTTCTCTGTTGCTTTCTGAATAGCAGGAACAAAGACGTCTTGTTTAAAACGTAAATAATATGCCTCGTTGTAGTTTGGCAAACCACAGATTGAAAAGAAAAGAAAACAAAAAACCGTGGTCACCTGCGTGTGCCGCTGCCGTCCCGGCACTGGCTCCCTTGGCCTTCAGCTGTTCAGCCCCTCATTCACCATCCCAGACACTCTACACGCTATTGCAAGGAAGAGAAAGATGGCCCAGATGCTCTTGAGGGGTCTCTGTGGTTACTGTGAAAGAGGAGATTCGTAGGCATGGTGTGAGGTTGCATCGCTCAGCATATGGCTGCATGAAATCCATAGCTGCGTAGGGTTTGGTAAGAAAGAGGTTGGTTTCATCCCTGGGCAGGCGGGGACCACATGATGTGCAGCGTGGGCAGTTGGGGTGGTGGCTGGGGCTGCAGAAGTGGGGTTTCCAGGGAGCAGAGGGAGGAGGCTGCAGAGACGCTGCTTGTCCTTCGTTCTTGCAGGGAGGGAGAGGGAAGGGAGGAAGATGGCAGGAGAGGAGGGCGGCCTTTTCTCAGGCCCTGCAGTTATGAGACTGATTTATTTACTAGTCACTCAGTCGAGTCTGACACTCTGTGACCCCACGGACTGTAGTCCTCCGGGCTCCTCTGTCCACGGGACTCTCCAGGCCAGAATACTGGAGTGAGTGGCCATTCCCTTCTCCAGGGGATGTTCCCGACCCAGGGATCAAAACTGGGGTCTCCTGCTTTGCAAGCAGATTCTTTACTGTCTGAGCTAAGGGAGATGATACAGAGCACTCTGAGAAAATGAACATGGCATCTGCTACAAGCTTCCTCATATCGCTCGCTGGCTTCTTAAAAGTGACACTCAAGAGACATGGCTTTCTAGTCCTGAGCTGTGGGCTGCTTTTACTGTGAGTTCTGTCGGTGATCAGGGTCCTATTTTCCTGTTGGCTGATAGATAACTTGATTCATGTTTGTGCTCACCTCTTGCAAGAGCAGAGGCCGCCTGCCATGAGTTTTTATATTAGCCTTAATTCCGGCTGCATTGTAAGTTCCCAGCCTTGTTCCCTGCTTTTTCCCTCCCCACCCAGCCCCCGCCCCAGGTTCTCACATCCCTGTGTTCAGACTGTGTTCCACACACATCTGCCTCATCTACTGTAATTCCTGTCTGCAACAGTGAGGAAGGTAACAAAAGGAAGCATGGCTTCCTCAAGTGTTCAGCCTATTCCTGGGACTCCCTCTCCATAGAAACCTCAGTCCAAGAGAAGGAAGAGGGAAGGAAAGGAAATTAAGCAGCAAGAACATCCAGCCCACGAGTTTAGAGACAGCAATCTTGGACAAGGCTCCCTGGCCACGGGGCAAAGTGCTCCCCTTCCCCACCCCCAGTTCCTTAGCTGGAGCAGGAAGCTTGAGCAGATGGTGTTCCTCGCTTTCCAAGGCCACTGTGCCCTTCTTTGTCCTACTTACTCAGTCATCATGGGAATGGTGGTTCAGGAGGGAGCCAGCTCAGCTCAACTTTTCCCCATTAACACTCCCTGCACTCTCACCCCAGGACTGCCTGGCCCCTGGGCTAGGGAACCAGGGTCTGGAGAGTCCTCCCCTCTCTGGGCCAGCTGCAGGCTTCTGACCTCCCGCCATCCTCTGACTGCGCTCCTGGCCTCACTCCTCTTGTATTTGAACGAGAACTCACCTGGCCAGCCTGGAGAGTTGGGGGAGTGCTCCCCGTGAGTTGCCCCCGCCCACCATCTTCCCAGCACAGCACCTCCGTCTGCTGTTTCTTCTCTGTCATTGCCCAACCCCTTGTCTCACCTGAGTCTTTTCTTCAGCTATTTTCTTTTTTAAAACATTTATCTGGCTGTGTCAGATCTTAGTTGCAGCACCCAGGATCTTTGTTGCGTTGGGGGGGATCTTCCGTGACGGTGCATGGACTGTCTGGACTCAGTAGCTCTGTGGCATCCAGGAGCTTAATTCCTTCACCAGGGATAGAACCCATGTCTCCTACATTGCAAGGCGGATTCTTAACCACTGGACCACCAGGGAAGTCCCACTTTAGCTATTTTCTACCTGAGTTAGAGTAAGCAGTGCCATTCTAGTCCTGGACCAGAGAATCTCTAAAACACTTCAGAGCCTTATTTCAGCAAGGGTGTTCCCTTCTTGAGAACAATCGCTCACTTTCTAGTGTCTGCATCTGATGTGAGGTCCCGACTTTGAGATGAGTTTATTTGTACAAATTTCAACCATGAACCTGCTATGTGCCTGGCATGGTACTCTGGGCCAGCTGCAGGCTTCTGACCTCCCGCCATCCTCTGACTGCGCTCCTGGCCTCACTCCTCTTGTATTTGAACGAGAACTCACCTGGCCAGCCTGGAGAGTTGGGGGAGGGCTCCCCGTGAGTTGCCCCCGTCCACCATCTTCCCAGCACAGCACCTCCGTCTGCTGTATCTTCTCTGTCATTGCCCAACCCCTTGTCTCACCTGAGTCTTTTCTTCAGCTATTTTCTTTTTTAAAACATTTATCTGGCTGTGTCAGATCTTAGTTGCAGCACCCAGGATCTTTGTTGCGTTGGGGGGGATCTTCCGTGACGGTGCATGGACTGTCTGGACTCAGTAGCTCTGTGGCATCCAGGAGCTTAATTCCTTCACCAGGGATAGAACCCATGTCTCCTACATTGCAAGGCGGATTCTTAACCACTGGACCACCAGGGAAGTCCCACTTTAGCTATTTTCTACCTGAGTTAGAGTAAGCAGTGCCATTCTAGTCCTGGACCAGAGAATCTCTAAAACACTTCAGAGCCTTATTTCAGCAAGGGTGTTCCCTTCTTGAGAACAATCGCTCACTTTCTAGTGTCTGCATCTGATGTGAGGTCCCGACTTTGAGATGAGTTTATTTGTACAAATTTCAACCATGAACCTGCTATGTGCCTGGCATGGTGATGAAATCTTCAAGGCTTCTGATGGGTGGTTTTGCCTTGTCTCAGGCCTGTCTTTCGTGCCTGTTTTCCCATTGTCTTTGCTTTGCTGCTTAATCATGTCTCAACTCCAACTCCCTCTTCCTTCCTGGCAGTTTGATTTTACAAACTTCCTCTCCTATCCTGCCTTAATAGCTTCTGGCTTCAGAGGCATGATTTACACTTCCTCAAAGGGTAAGGTTTTATTCTCCGAATTATTGTTTCTTTTGCAGTTCCAGCGTGGTAAATCCAGCGTCCACCATGATTGATGCATCCCAGGAAAACACAAGAAAGTCAGCTATATCTCCAGCCAAGGTAGATTGAAACTTGGATTTTGAAAAGCTCATTTGGGGCCAGAATGCCATTCTCTTATTTTATCAAAGTACCATAAAAAAGAGGAATTTGTAGTACTTTTTTCCCATCAAATATAGATAATTTTTACTATTTAATATAGGAAATCACTCTTTTGGTGGACCTAGACTTTTTACCCTAAAGAATAAAAAGTCTGACAATATTGGGGGCTGCTTCATATGCTTTTAAGCATATGGCCTGTGGCTTGTTAGTTCCATAACAGTCCTTATTCCTATTCATGGCTTCCTGAATCCCTGTCAGAAGTCTGCTTGTGGGAGAGGATTTTCGATTTATGAAACTACAGATAGCAAATATTGATTTTCAGTCTTATATTCATAAAGAAAAATACTTGGAGTAGGGATAACTTAGTTCAGGATTAACATATACATATTACTATATATAAAATAGATAACCTATAGCACAAGGAACTATACTCAATATTTTATAATAACCTATAAGGGAGAAGAATCTGAAAAATATATATGTAACTGAATCACTTTGCTGTACACTTGAAACTAACACAAAATTGTAAATCAAGTATATTTCAGTTGAAAAACAGAACTCTATTTATTGATATGCTTTCTAACATTAGAATTAATGATCATATTAGTGGCTATGAAGCACTTCAATATACCTTTTAAATCCTTATAGGAAAGGTCAGTTGCAATTATATTTAGTACAACTTTAACCCATCGCGGTGAGTTTCTCGTATGCTAGAAAGAGCGCTGGTGTGAATCTGCCCTAATTAGAGCCTCAGGTTTACCCTGACCTGCGACCACCTCTTTGATGTGTTCAAGGCCCAGGTTTTCTTGCCTGTGTAAAAATCTCACCTCTGTGAGATTAGAGTTGAATGCCTGGTCTGGTTTAACTTTGTAAGGCTCCAGAATTGAGTACATTTTACACAGTTTTGTTCTGGTTTTTTTTTTTTTTTTTTTTTTTGGCATGGCATATATGTGGTGATTCTTTCCTGACCGGATTAACTAGGACCATCATTTTTCAAACATGCCAGATAGAGTTTACTGGTTAAAACTATTAACTATTGCATATAATAAGCATTTGCTGACACTGAGTTGCTGTTATGACATATAAAATGAATTTAATAAACAATATTTTTCCCCAGCAAAGGAAGAATCCGTTTAATAGCGCCTTGTTGCCAGAAGATCAGTTATCTCAACAAACCAAAAATGAGCAGTCAAAAAATGGAAAGACTGGTTTCTTTCAGACTTCAAAAGAGGGTAAATATTATTTTTATTGAGCTAGATATTTTTATCTTTGTTATCTGTGGACTAAGGGAAATTCTCAGAGTTCCTTTAACTAAAATAGCTTTCAAGGGAAAGTGAAAAATTGTGATGGTTTTCTTATTTTTCTACTATATCCACCATTTTCCTGCCCGAGGAAAGGAAGCAGAAATTTTAGAAACCAGAAGTTCATGCATTCCAGGCTCAGAGGTGACACTTATGTGACCTCCATTCCTTGGGGTCCCCCTCATCGACCTGGGAAATTTTTTGACCAGAGGCCTTCAGTCATTCCTTGAACACTATTTATTGGATGTCTACTGTGCAGACATAGTTCTCTGTTTAAAATTAAAAGAGTTTGCCTCAAGACCACTTGATGATGTTACAATCCTCGAATCTGTAATTATCAGCTCAGTCTCCCAGGAGCATTTGATTAGATTTGTTGCTGAACTGATTGAAGTCTGCCTCTTAGAGAATTTTACCATTCTTACATTCTATTAAGAAGAATCATTAGACAATTTAATCTCTTCAAAATCAACTGTAAAGAAGATTCCACAGGCATTAAAGACTGGACAAGGGGTAGAAAATTAATTTGTAATTGTTATTGTTCAGTTGCTAAATAGTGTCCAACTCTGTGACCCCCATGGACTATAGACCACAGGAAATTAACAATTAAACACTAGAATTAGGAGTTTCAATTATACTGTTTTAATATTAGTGTAGTTTATCCTCTCCATTGGATACACTTTATATAGCATAAAATATTTTATAGAAAAGAAGTCACTGGAACATGTTACCCGTTTTGTTTTGGTTTTTTTTACCTTTTTGTCAAAATTAATTTTTATTTTAGGTGTTGAAATTTTCTTTTTAGAAAACTGAGCTCATTTTTATGGTTTCCATACATGAATTTTTTCAAGTGACTTTTGTATTTTTTCTTTACTCTCCTCCAGGAGTTTCTGAAATGTCTTTAAAAAATTTTTTTTTCTATTGAGTATAAAATACCACAAAGTTTGAATATAAAGCATAGCCATCTTAAATTCAGTGAACTTCATGCATGAATTTTTTTAGAGTTTTTAATTAGGTCTGTACTTAACCTTCATGCTTTATTATCTTTTAATATTTTAGCATTTTTTGCTAAATGTAGATTAAGTTTATGATAGGTGTTTTAATGCGTTACTCTCCATTTGGCATATCATCTGATATGTTTTACTTTTCAGGGGAGTTGTCAGAGTCCAAAGAAGTGTCATCTGTCCTGGTTATGAAAAGCCAAAAGTTAGAGAAACCGAAGCAGACTCTTTCAGGTCCTGAGAATGGGTCCCCAATCAAGGCTCCAGTCCCCAAAGTCAGGAAAATGCTCTACAAGTCCCAGGACTTAAAGCAAGATGATAACCAGCCTTTTCCTAGACAAAGGACAGACTCCTTGAACGCAAGAGGGGCTCCCAGGGGGATCCTGAAACGCAATTCCAGTTCCAGTAGCACAGACTCAGAAACTGTGCGTTTTCATCAGAACTTTGAACCCAAAAGCAAAATCGTGTCCCCGGGCCTAACCATCCATGAGAGAATTTCTGAGAAGGAGCATTCTTTGGAAGATGACGACGCCTCAAACTCGCTGGAGCCGTTAAAGCATGTGAGATTCTCTGCCTTGAAGGATGAAGTGCCACAGAGTCCAGGGCTGGTCCACGGCCGGGAAGTGGGAGAATTTAGTGTTTTAGAGTCCAATAGGTTGAAGAGTGGAACAGAAGGTGCGGGGCTCAAAGATGAGGTTGGGAATGACCCTTGGCCTTCCCAGTACACAAACGGTTTGCCTTTTCAGTCATCAGCCTCAAGCCCAAGTCCATCAAAAAATGAAACAAGCCAGCCAACGACTTCTGGTTCCTTTCCAATTAATGAGCACTCTTCTCCCAAAGAAGTGTTAACTACAAGACCACTGTCCGCTGAGAATTCACACACCATCAATGAACACAAAACTAGCTCATCAGAATTGTCCAAAAACCCTGCTGGTAAGAGATTCATCACTACCAGGCTATAAAAACTGACCCAGCGGGCTTGGGATGGCCAGGACAGCCAGGCAGCCTGGTAGAAGCTCATTTTGCCTTCTAGGTATTTCAGCTGAAATTCAGGCAGAAGCCACTGGGGAATGTTTATGCCTCTTCATGGGTTTGCAGGTTGTCCTCAATCACCAATAACTAAAAGAACCAGAATAGCACACTTTCTGGCACATATTACACTTCATCCTAAACAAATCTAAGTGTGTAAATTAGTCAAATTATAGTGGTTTTTTTTTTTTAGTTAAATCAAGGTTTGTATACGAGAGTGAAAATTAAACATATGCTAATACCTTTATATCGGAGAAGGCAATGGCACCCCACTCCAGTGTTCTTGCCTGGAGAATCCCAGGGACAGGGGAGCCTGGTGGGCTGCCATCTATGGGGTCGCACAGAGTCGGATATGACTGAAGCGATTTAGCAGCAGCAGCAATATCTTTATATGGAGTAAATATGTTATTATTCACCTAATGCAAATTTATTGATTCCCATTTAACAACACTTTGGTTTCTCTTTAATTTCAGGAGAACCTTCACTTCCTTAGCCTCAAAGGGTGGGAAACTAGACTTTAAATTCTTACTAGGAGAAAGCTTCGTATTGATACCATGTCTTGCCTAGGGCCTTCATCCATTTGTTCCTAGACTTTAAATGTTCTGAAGGAAACTTTCTCCTTCAGTTGGTGTGAGTTGAGAGGCAATGAAAATACTGATTTTTCTTGCTAGCTCATTGATTTAGCCCCCTCTTGAAGATCTTAGAGCTCTCAGAGGATGCCTCAAACTGTTTTCTGATACCCACATGATTACTTCATAGTTCTTGTGTTTTAAAACAGAAGCAGTGGGAAAAACAATTTTATGTACTCTCTCTCATCTTCATTAAGTCTTAATCCAACCCTATGATAATTTCTGTAGTCAGAAAAATATATAGTAGCAGCAGTCAAGTTTCTAAATCATTTTTCTTCTCATCCCCTATTAGTCATTGTTGCATTGACCCTGAATCACTTTTGCTCAGTCCTACTCTTTCACACTTATTCAGATCAGTCCACTTCTTAAAGACAAAGTGTCTCTATTACCCCTCTCCCTGGATATTTTAAATAATTTGAAAAAGGCAGAATATTTTTTTAAAAATTTAAAATTAGCAGGTGCTTCTTCAAAGATATAAAGGAACTCATTTTAAGGAAACTTCTAAAGTTTGAGTAAACACTAACAAATAATTAGATGATGCTTACTTAAATGTTTGTCTAAAAGATGAAAAAATTCTTTGGTAATATTTTCTTTTGGTATAATCCATAGAAAAAAATTGGTAAACCTTTCCTGTTTTTCAAAGTGCACCTGCTTTCTCATAGACTACCTTTATAATTTTCTGTTAGCTATTTATGCTTTCTGATTTTTAAATCTAACTCACCATGAAACCTGGTAAGAAGGCATCATCAGTAAACCCGTTTTGATTGACAGACAGATCTTCTAGTCTTGAAGCTTATAAACAAAGTTCTGCTTATTCACTAATGCCCTGTTTTCTCCTTGCTTACCACAAAAATACATACAAGTAAATAATGGAGCATAAAAGGAAAATCAGAACCGAAAAATGGTAAACTCTAATTGTGTGAATTATGAGAGTTTAACATTAGCTCTGAGCTTTAGGACAATCACTATCACACTCATTAAAAAAAAAATTATTGGAGTATAGTTACTTTACAATGTTGTGTGAGTGTCTACTGCACAGCATAGTGAATCGGCTGTATATATACATATATCCCCTCCTTTCGGGATCTCCTTCCTATTCAGGTCACCACAGAGCGCTGAGTGGAGTTCGCTATGCTATACAGTCTGTTCTCATTAGTTATCTGTTTTCACACGTAGTAGTGTGTATACATCAGTCCCAAGCTCCCACTTCATCCCACCCCTCCTTTCCCCTTGGTGATCATACATTTGGCCTGTACATCTGTGTCTCTAGTTCTGCTTTGCAAACACGCATCATTATACCAGAAGAAAACAAAAGAATTCCTCAAAGGAAACAAAAATATTACCTGGCATCAAATTTTTTAAATAACTGTTCTTGTTTTTAAAATAATACACTTTTATTTGAAAAGTGTAAAAACATTTGAAAAGAAATATGCACAAAATAAAACAATGATCATCTGTGATATCAACTATTGCTAATGTTTCATTGTAGGGCCTTTCAATAATTTTCAGGAATGGATATCATTTGAATTATGTTTACACTGTCCAGACTTCTTTTTTCACTAACAGTATATAACAAGATTTTTTTTTTCTCATTAGTCTTCCATTAAACAGCCTAACAGAGAACTCTTAAAGATCTCTCAAAGGAGCTTCACCATCACTGACATATTTTTAATAGTGTCATGTGTCGTTATGAAAGGAAACTAGTATCCACTGTGTGCCAGTTATTGTATAAGCCTTTGTTGTTTTATATTTAGCCAGAGTTGATAAAATTAAAATTAAAGAGAAAATTTTATTAACTGACATCTCCTCTGGTGCACTTGAAATGTAGCCAACTTCATAAAAACTCAGCTCACATAATTTTCAAGAACATATATGTAGCTTAGCATTTATAAGGAAGAGCGAGAAATGCTGAACACCCACATTAGCTAAAGGGAAAGAATGCCTGAGTTCCCTCACGTGCCTGTGCATAAGGCTCAGAAAGGTCTCGGCCTGCTTTCTCGATAGCGTAGAAAGAACTTCAACGCCCCTCTCTGGCCTCCTAGCCATGGGGTAACAAACATCAGGCAACACGTAGAATTCACATTCTCTGTCGGTCCTCATTTTACTTTGTCTCACAGAAACTTCCTTCAAAGTTGCAAATTATAGAAGGGAAGTAGGGGATCGCGGGAGAGCCCTTGAGACCATGGTATACAAAACCACCACCGAGATAGCCAGTAGGAAAGATTCCCGGGCCCCATCTTCAGAGACTCTGGCCCAGTGTATCAGGAGTAAGGCCCTAGGATGCAAATATCTTCATTGTACCATTCTGATGGTTTGGAAGGAACTCCTTGTTTAATCTTCCTTGAACGTTGTTTTCCTAACTCCTGAAATCGCGTAAGTCTTTGTTACTCAAAATTATTTTTGTTCTATTCGGTTTTGGTTTTGGCCACATTGCATAGTCTGTGGGATCTTAGTTCTTTGACCAGGGACCAAACCCACATGCCTTGCATTAGAAACTTGGAGTCTTAACCACTGGAATGTCAGGGAAGTCCTGTGTTTCTCAAACTTGAGTATAAGCCCTCTCTAGGGTTTATGAGTGGGCCAGTAGATAATCAACAAGAGGTATCTCCCTGGAGTGTCTGTTTTATGCAAAGCTTTGAGAAAAATTCGTATGTAAAATGTAGCATGGATCAGAATATAAAATCTACTTGAATTTTTAGAATAAAACAGACACTTGTAAGAAATTCCCCTCATAGTTTCAGGGGCCTCTATTTACCTTCCTTTACTATTATAAGGCATCTTTGGTAGAATATCTTAATGAGGATGGTTTATATTATAACTCCTGATAAATGCTGATATAAACAACTAACGGTGGAGCAAATGTAAATACAAAGTGCCTTTTTAGAAGATGATGTGATTAAATGACAATTCTTTAAGCGTTCTCTTTTCTCATTTAGAAAAGCATTTCTGTGTTGCAGATGGACTGTCTCGCACTGAGCCCAGCTCACCTGAGGTGCCAGACTGCAGTTCTAGAGACCATCAGCAAGGTAAGCCCCCTCTACACCAGGCCCTAAAAGCAAAGACGTCCTCACGTTCTGGTCCATATGCCACTGAGATAAGGAAGACAACTGATGATTCCATATCTAAAGTCCTAGACTGGTTTAACCGAAGCTCTCATTCAGATGACAGTGTGGCATCTCTCCAATATCCCCAAGAAGTAGAGCCCAAAGAAAAAACAGACTCCAAGCCACAGATTGCTGTTGCCTTGGTGACAGATGACACCAGTCAAGAAGGAAATGGTTTGAAGGCTCTACTACCCACCAAAGTTGAATTGACACCTGTGGGACCTGATTCAACATTCCAGGTGGAAGAACATATGCTGCCCTCTGGATATTGCCAAGATAACAGTGTGCACATCAAACCCAGGTCTATTCATTTGTCCCCACAAGGGAAGGAAAGTCTGGGCATGTTGCAACCATTTGAAATTTACGGTCCAAATCAAGAGAGTAAAACTAAAGACTATAGCCATGGTTCAAAAAACACAGAGAAAGCAGTTGGGGTCCTTATTCCAGCCAATAACTATTCCTACAGTGTTCACAAAGGATCTCATGCAGAAGACCAAGTTCTAAGCAATGTTAAGGATGCTAGCAGCTTAGGTGAAGAAGAACCCAAGCTTCGTGTTGATAAAAAAAATACAAGGAAGTCAGAAGTAAATTTTGACTCTTCCACATTTATCCAAGAGCCAAGTTTCAAAGCCCACGTAAAGGCAGAAAGCGAGAGCAAAGGAAGAGATACTTCCATCCTAAAATCTTCTATAGACCCAGAGAATATTGAGTCACTTCCTGGGGCTGCCAACAGTAAATCTCCTTGGAAGAAACCTGAGATCCAGTTAGCAGAAGCTGGTGAGGTTCCCCAGAACCGAGTACAAAGAGAGAAATACAAAAGAGTGAGTGAGAGAATATCCTTTTGGGAAAGTACAAAAGCTGCCATTCATAAAGAACCCACATCTCCATTTAGTCAGGAACGACCTTCTGCTAAAGCATGTCAGCCTGTGACATCCATGGACAGTTTACCTATGGACCGTGGTAAATGTAATACTCAAGTCACTGCCACACATGTAATCCTAGACAACGATGGCCAAGCAGCCCATGTCTCTGGTTTTTATTCCTCAATGAAACCTAAAGAGACCAGGCCCCAAATATCAGGTCCATCCAAAAATGATCCTTCAGCTGACCAGTCAGGCACAGTGTCTCTCTTTCAGAATAGGACAACTGAGCCTCTAAAAAGATTACCAGTGACAGACAGTTTGCATTCTGAAAAGGGCATTACTTTCCCACCACTGCAACATGCTTCAAATGTCGGGAGTGAAATGCATACCTCTTTGGAGAAAGACAGATCTCTGAATCCCAACTTTAAAGTTATGTCCTTACAAGAAAGAATGAATGAACCCAATACAGAACAAGTCTATGATCACTCTCAATTTGAGAATTTGAGAAGGTTTTGGGACTTAGGCACCAATGCAAACCATCAAGATAATATTGAGAAGAATATCACCACAACAAGCCAAAAAAACTCTGTGCTTTTTAATAGTCAGAAACACAAAGAATTCAGTGACGTGACATCATCAGGAAACAGTACCCATGAGAGAGAGATGATTCTAAGCCAGAAAGAAATTCCGGCAAGAGAGGAAATAGAGAAGTTAAATTCAAAGGGCACACTCCAGGTGTTGCCAGATGACACCACATTTCCATGGAGACCACCCAGAAAGTCCACTCATCAGTTGCCAAGATATGAGTCATCAAAGGAAAACATGGGGAAAAATACCGAATGCTTTGTTACCCCGGTGTTCAAAAAAGAGAACGATAACTCTGACCAAGAGCTTGAAGAGATTCAAGAATCCATAGTGAAAACAGGTGTTTCATCTAAAGACTACAAAGACACGCTTAATGACAGCTTACAGAAGCTGCTTTCCGAAGCCTCATCACCAGTCCTCCAGCCTTCTGGTGGAAAAGTTCATGAAAAACAAGTGTTTGAACCAGATGTTTCTGACATGAGGACATGGCCTCAGGAGACAGATTTTGCTGATCCTGAGGAAGAAGCCAAAAGGCCTAAGGATATCAGTAATGAGCATATAGACAAAACAGTAGCTCCTCCAAAGGCCTATTTGAACACTTTGACTGCTAGTCTGGACAAATTCCTGAAGGAAGCAACTGGAAGCCCACCCTCTCCCCCACAAACCAAATGTGGACCCACCACTGTTGGGATCAACTCAGAGTCTGAAGAGAGTAGCGTTGATGAAAACAGGATAGAGCAGAGTCAGAACACGTCAGCTGATGAGAGAGAAGAAATCGCTTCCTTTCCAGAGGGGACAGAAAATTGGGGAAACAGCACTCTCTCCCAGGAAGCTCCAAGTGGTGAGTGCCAGCTGAACCCAGAGAACTTGTTCCAGATGGCTGCAGAAGGCTCTCATCCCCTGGATCAACCTTCCTGTCTCCACAGAAAGGGTTCTTCCGGGGATGTGGTCCACTCTCCCCAAGATATGCCTTCTCCCAGGGATGCCCATCCTTCTCCTCAGGATAAGACACTGCTTTCTCAAAGGGAAGTTTCAGAGACTATAGAAAAAGTTATTCTTTCACCCAGACCTGCATTGAATGATGTAAAAGCTATATTACTAAAGCTACTTAGAGAAGCTTGGTTGAGTTATCCAGCTGGGCTGGAAGTAGTTTCTAGAGAAGTAAAAACAGAATTTCCTAAAGGTGTACAGGTAGACAGTAGTGCCCCAAATTCTCTGGGAGTTATCCCATCACAGACAACAATGAATAGCATAGCTTCAGACAGAAAGGATTTTTATTCCTTCAATGTAGTTTCTGATGAAACTCATAAAATGGAATCTTATTTAGCTGCCCAGATGTCTCCATCAGACCAAACCCTTAGCTCATCTTCTACTGCTGCTCAGTATGGCAAAGAGTTACCTCAGGAAGTGACAGAAATTGTGAGGGAAATGATTATTCAGCCTAAATCAGAGCTCCTTGAATTCAGTGTTGCCTTAGAAGAACTACTGAAGGAAACAACTGAAACCCCTAGCACAAAATATCCCAGTAATACACAGGGTCTTTATCCGTCAGAGTTAGTAGGTGTTACTGAGGTGCCCAGGCAAGCTGCTTCTGAATTCCATCCTAAGGAAATAAAAGAGACAGTAGAAAAGTCTGAGGCGCCATCAACTACTGAGAGTGCTATTGATATTGGTTTGGAGAGACTCCTTAAAGAAACATCTAACGGTCCTTCTTATCAGCCCCAAGTGTCAGTGAAGGAAGAAAGTCCTGAGAAGGAGCCATTAGCATCAAAGCAGGCCAGGTTTTGGGAGAAAGTGCCCCCTTCTTACTGGTCAGCCTCAGAGGCCTTGGAAATCAAACGTAAGAGTGATGTTTTCAAATCTCAAGTCAACCTATGTGATAGAGTGTCGGGAAGAGACAAGGCTGTGACTGGCTTATCAGATCTCTGTGGTTCTGAAAGTGGGGTTGAGATCCCTGGAACCTCACAACTTTCCATGGATCACAAAGTAGGGACCACTGGAACTATAAACCCCCCAGAGGAGAGGGATAGTGAAAGTGGGGTTGCAGTGGTTCAAGAAAGGGCTTTTCAGGAGCCTGGTTTCAAAGAGGCTCCTGAAGCAATTAACGTGCCCAGAAATAGGCAACCCATTCCTCTCCTGACAAACAAAGAAAACTCTGCAAAAACAAGTCAAGTTGGATTGATTCTGGCATCACTGTTTAAGAGACTACAGAAAAAGCAAGAAAAAGATTTCTCTGACTCTGATTTTTCAGACAGAAACATTGGTTCTAATGCAGAAAGCTGGAGAAACACCTCCAGTGAGCATTTTGAAGTTTTTCACCGATTGGTTAATGAGTTGATTTATGTAATGCTGACATAAAGGATGATATAGTTTTTAAAAACTGGGATTAATTTGATAATCCCAAGTGGTGCTAAGTTTGTCTTTGTACTTCGGTTCTCCCTAGATTTTCTTAATAAAAAAGCTACATTTCCTCTTATATTCTTTAATCAAATGAGTTGCATAGAGATGGCATTACCCATCAGACAGTGTTTCAGAATCTGATTTTATTCTCCCTGATCAACGATAGAATTTTCTGATTCCAAAGATGTGTTTTAAAGAACTTTTGGGGTTTAGAGAGTACCTCTGAGACATCCAAGTGAGCTTTCCTCTTGGAAAGAATTAGAATTTCCTAATTGGCAGTCCACGCAGCAGGCTCCAGTAAGATTTGTAGCAAGAAAGTGCCGCAAGTGGGCATAGATTGCCCTCTTAGGAGCAACGCGTTTCGATAGTGGTGGCTGAGTACCAGGAACAAGGTGCAGGGCTGGAACTTGCCCTCAGATACCTTGAACTGCTGTGGGGTTTGTTTTTTCATTTTCTCTTTTTTTTTGCTGCTCTCTCCCTCCCATTTCCGATTACCTGCAGAATTCTCCCTTCTTGGCTGTGACTCAGTGTGATGACCTCACCAGACCACACCTAAGGGCCTGGCCTGGCCTGCTGCATTTCTTTGGCTCCAGCCTTAGCTGAGTGGAGATCTTCATCAATTACCATATTCATCTAAGTGGACTTGGGATACTGGTTTCAGCCAGGCTCTCAAAGAAAGGGCTTGTCTCAGTTTGCCCTTTGGAGCAACCTGACTATTTTAGGAGAGAAAGCCAGGAACAAATAGGGATTAGAAGTTACCTGGTTAGAGTGAGGAAATAATAAAGGATGCTCCCCGGCTGGAACATTTTAACCAAAGTTGCACAACAACTAGTGTTGATCACCTTCCTCAGCAGAAAATTAATAGAATGTGTCATTTCCTAGCTCCCTTCGGTCTCAGTAAGAACAAATGAGCTTCACTGAGTAGCTCATTTGTGAGGTTTGGGTTCCTTTGCAAGTAGCCATAGGGTCTCTTATTGAAAACTGACCAGAGAATCCACTTATAATCCTAGGTAATGAAGCTGAAGCCTCTTTAATATTTGTAACTGGGTGGGAAAAGGAAAGTGAAATACCAGTCTCTGCAAGAGTATAAGTCAGCATTTTAAACTTACTGAAGTAGATTTAACTAAGCTACCCCATGAGTTACTAGGGTAAATGGGCCTATATGAGGTGAAGGGCTTGTACATTTACACTGAATTTTGAAGACTGTTCCTGCATGTGTATAACTGTATTTAAGTATACCAGCATAACTGATTGAACAGCAAAAAACCTAGCTAGAAAAGAAATAATCAATATAAATGATTACCCAGACAGAGCCCAGAGATTTTTAAATTACAAGCCTAGTAGGAGGTATAAAATGGTGCATGGTGTGTGTGTGTGTGTTCAGTCATGTCTGACTCTTTTGCGACCCCATGGACTGTAGCCTACCAGGCTCCTCCATCCATGAGATTTTCCAGGCAAGAATGCTGGAGTGGGTTGCCATTTCCTCCTACAGGGAATCTTTCCCAACCTAGGGATTGAACCCGTGTATCTTGCGTCTCTGGTATTGACAGGCAGATTCCTTACCACTAAGCCACCTGGGAGGCGTAGTTTCCTAACTTCTAACCTAAATAATTACTTTTTAAGTAAATGAGTTGGGTGGAGTGAGAGTAGGGAAGAACCTGACAACAAGGCCACCCCAATTTTGATGAGCAGCCGAACATGCTAGACTTGTGGCTGAGCTCTTAACCAGCCAATACCGCAGTATGTTCCTTTAATAAAGGGAGGAGGGAATGCTGAGAGATTATGCACATGATTCATGCACTGATGCTCCCCGGCTGGAACATTTTAACCAAAGTTGCACAACAACTAGTGTTGATCACCTTCCTCAGCAGAAAATTAATAGAATGTGTCATTTCCTAGCTCCCTTCGGTCTCAGTAAGAACAAATGAGCTTCACTGAGTAGCTCATTTGTGAGGTTTGGGTTCCTTTGCAAGTAGCCATAGGGTCTCTTATTGAAAACTGACCAGAGAATCCACTTATAATCCTAGGTAATGAAGCTGAAGCCTCTTTAATATTTGTAACTGGGTGGGAAAAGGAAAGTGAAATACCAGTCTCTGCAAGAGTATAAGTCAGCATTTTAAACTTACTGAAGTAGATTTAACTAAGCTACCCCATGAGTTACTAGGGTAAATGGGCCTATATGAGGTGAAGGGCTTGTACATTTACACTGAATTTTGAAGACTGTTCCTGCATGTGTATAACTGTATTTAAGTATACCAGCATAACTGATTGAACAGCAAAAAACCTAGCTAGAAAAGAAATAATCAATATAAATGATTACCCAGACAGAGCCCAGAGATTTTTAAATTACAAGCCTAGTAGGAGGTATAAAATGGTGCATGGTGTGTGTGTGTGTGTTCAGTCATGTCTGACTCTTTTGCGACCCCATGGACTGTAGCCTACCAGGCTCCTCCATCCATGAGATTTTCCAGGCAAGAATGCTGGAGTGGGTTGCCATTTCCTCCTACAGGGAATCTTTCCCAACCTAGGGATTGAACCCGTGTATCTTGCGTCTCTGGTATTGACAGGCAGATTCCTTACCACTAAGCCACCTGGGAGGCGTAGTTTCCTAACTTCTAACCTAAATAATTACTTTTTAAGTAAATGAGTTGGGTGGAGTGAGAGTAGGGAAGAACCTGACTACAAGGCCACCCCAATTTTGATGAGCAGCCGAACATGCTAGACTTGTGGCTGAGCTCTTAACCAGCCAATACCGCAGTATGTTCCTTTAATAAAGGGAGGAGGGAATGCTGAGAGATTATGCACATGATTCATGCACTGAAGCATATTAAAGTCACCGAGAAGGTCCGTAGTAAGAAAACTTTAAAATTTGAACACAGAACATCCCGAATCTAATTCATCTTAGAATCCATTTACTGGAGAATGCTTATTAACATTGGGCAGAACTGGGATGCACTTCAGGAAAGTGTTGTCTAGAGTTGTTCCCGAGTGGATTGACTCATTAATGGAATCATTCATGGATTTAGCAAACAATGTCGAAGTGCCTGCCACTATTGTAGGTGCTAATAATATAACAGTGATGAGTGACGGTACTCAGACCAAGGCTTATCCATGTTGGAGTTTTCACTGTCAAAGTGGAAAAATTAAAGACAGTCTAGAGAAAAATATTTATAACATTAGATGCATTGAAAGAACAGTGCTTATTCTCCAGTTATCCCCTTTTTCTTTTTTCCTTGTGGTCCTAAAATACCTTTCATTTTTTATAAAATGAAGACATTAGTAGTTAATAGAGACCAACCTCCCCCACTTTAAAATGCTTTCTATTTTAAAATAAAAAGTTGACCACCTCAGGTCATTACCCAACATTTTGATGGGAAGCTCACTAGCTCATGAAACCAAAGAGTCTATATTTGTTGATCTGGAGAATTCACCCATCTGTGTACCCAATTATTTACAGATGTTAAAACATCTGAATCCTGCCTTCTATGGTTTTCAGCTAATTATTTTAATGCTCCTAAAACCATTTTGTGACTGTCTTCAAAAGCTAGAAGTGAAGGGGAAAATTCAAATTTTAGAACAGAACAAATCATGTGCCTAAAATAGAGGTGTAGAAGACTAAGGCAGCACGTTGCTGTTAACGTGGTCATTATGTTCATCTTTTCTCTGTATCATTTATGCTTACCAATATTTCCTGACCAGGGAAGTCATTTAATGGCTCAGTGGTAAAGAATCCGCCTGCCAATCCAGGAGACACTGGAGGTGAGGGTTTGATCCTTGGGTCAGGGAAATCTCTGAAGGAGGAAATGGCAACCCACTCCAGTATTCTTGCCTGGAAAATCCTGTGGACAGAGGAGCCTGATGGGCTACAGTCCGTGGGGCAGCAAAGATTTTGATACAACTAAGCACGCACGCGCATGCACTAATATTCTTTAGTGAAGAAATTTTATTTTCTTCTGTGGACTGCCTCATAAAATGGATAAAAATATGGAGGCTTATGGCATAATACCTCCTTTCCACCTGCCATTTCAGTGTCCATTGATTTATTAAGAGTTTGATTATTTTCTTTTTTTGTTTGTATTGTGCAGTATTCATCGGTTTTGTCTTGTAACAGGTTCAGAAGAAGAACCCAGTCCTGTTTTGAAAATTTTGGAAAGGAGTGCTGCTAGGAAAATGCCTTCCAAAAGTCTGGAAGATATTTCATCAGATTCATCAAGTGAGAATGAAGTGTGCCCCACTGCCCATGCCCTGATCTAAGCTTAAAAATGCTCATGTGCTCTTCTCTGGCCTCACTGCATGCTGTTGTGCCCTGAACCCCTAAAGGAGGGGTTAACAGATGAAAACAGCTTTTCCCAACTGAGCTAAACAGGCTCAGCCAAAAGTGGTTGGAACTTCGCTTTTAAAATAACACGTGAGGTTTGGTTACAAGTACACTAGGTTTTCTTGAAGAATCCCAGTTTGAATATTTATTCAAGTACACTGAGTTTTAAAAGACTGTGGTACCTCGTGGTTCTAGTGGTAATAGCTGACATTGATTGAGCACTGTGTGCCAAGACGTGGCTAAGCGTTTTATGTGCATGATCTCATGTAACTGGCATAGGCAACCACATGGGGGGTGGGGTGGGGGGAACAAATTGTTATCCCCATTTTACAGATGAGGAAAGTAGAGTTCAGAGATGTAAAGTAATTTGCTTCATACCATGCAGCAGAGCTAGGACTCAAAATCAATAGGCTGTTATCAAGAGCATTTATGAGGTGATTGTATTACATATAACTGCTTCTTGTCTGATAAATTTTTGCATGATATGGAGATGAATTCATCCCTGGCTTCAGGGACTTTGCTTTTTCTTTTATCCCTTATTTCCACCCATTTCTTTTGGATAGTGGAACTCTAAGCTCAAAGGCTACCTGACATACAACACTCCAGGCACACTCTTCCCACTGCTTTATTTGGTGAAGGATTTCTAGAGTAGTAACATAAAGCATAACGTATATAGGGACTTGTGAGCCAGACAGATTTAGAGACTGTGACTTCTAGGGGTTTTGTTCTTATTCTTTCTAAGCTAAGATGTACCCTTGGGATTACAGATGGTCATGAGGAAATTTATCAAGTGCAAGTTAACCACTGCCAAACTCATATGATTAAAAATTGATCACTTTCACATTTGGAATATTTCTATGCATCTGCAGTTGACACTGAAAAGTTTCCGATTTTAAAAAAGAAAAGGAAAAAGAACAAGCTATGCCACTAAATAGTTATTAAAATTCAGAGATTTTCAGGGCTGTGAAGGCAGTATTCCCAATTTGGAATGCAGCCCTAACCCCACCAAAGATCTTGGAATCTCAGGGTTAGAAGGGACCTTGAAGGTCACCCATTCCAAACTCCCCCTCCAATGCAGGAATTCCCTCTAAAGCCTCAACAGGTGGCCAAGCCCCCACATCCGCCTGAATGCTTCCAGAGAAGGCTAGTCCAGTCCTTTGTTGTTCAGCCCTAATTGTTCTTTCTGATGTTAGTGATGGACCCGAAGGGGGAAAAAAAAAACCTTCAGCAACAATTGTCCAATTTGGCAAACCTCTAGCCTGAGAAGCATGGGTCTATTGCCATGGTGCAGCTTTAAAGTACTCAGGAATGTGTAGGGTTAAAAAAAAAAAACCACCATCAGCTGACGGGTATTCCTGCACGCTCCCTTCCAAATACCGATACCCACTCTCACACTAGCCTGCCAAGATTCCACTTAGCAGCTGGTCCCCACTTACATCTCTTCAGTTGACTTCCCAAGCAAGGCTCCCGGAGGCATGCACAAATGATGATGCACGCCCAGAAATATTTGTTAATGACCATGGGTTTGGGAAGGTGTTAGTCATGGCTAGCATCTTACCCTTTCCAGAAGAATAGAGAGGCTGTTGCAGCCCCGTGCTTTCTCCTGCTGCCGGCCGATCGCTTGCTCTGAGCTAACCCTCTAACCCTTGGGAGTCCGTGTGCAGCAGTGTGCTGATGTAAGCTGCATCGGGGCTGAAATGGGAGCTCCCGCTATGGCACTGGCTCGAGTAGCTAATCTAAAGAGAAAGTATTTTGGGGAAGACATCTTGGTTGCACCCCTCACACGGCATCTTGACTAACTGCTTCCAACTCCAGGGGCTTCCAGGGACAATCTCATTGTTCTTGCTCGCCAAGGGTCAGTCGTGTTAACCATTTGTTAATTTCTCCTGCACAGATCAAGCCAAAGTAGATAATCTGCCAGAAGAATTAGTACGTAGTGCTGAAGATGGTAAATATCTTTATGTATTTGCATGTCTGTCTGTGTGTTAAGTTCTGGGGTGGTTTGGGCGGTCACCCGGACACAGCTATTAGGATAAATAGAAGAACGTCACTTGTCACTATGTGATGAATGGTGCCTAAGTTGTTATAAAATGGTTCTGACTTGGTGCATTTAATACTGTTCTTAAGGTTTCTGCTGGTGATACTGGTGTGAAGATCTCATCAGAGACCCTTGGGAAGCAAGGGTTTCTAAAAATAGGAAATCATACTTCTATGAGCATGAGCAGATTTTTGCTACTCTGACTTGCAGAACTCCTTGTGGAGGCAGGGAGAGTGGCATGGGTTCCTGGGTTAAGTTATTCCTGAATTTGATTTTCAAGTCAGTGTATAGATCTCTCTAGATTTAATTGGTAAAGATTTAAGATCAAAGGAAAGGGTCCCAGAACAAGACTGGGTATCTTGCCTCTGCTTACGTCAATAACCAAGTATAGACCAAGGGTGAAATTGACTAATTCTGAAAATTAAGGAGCCAGAAGGTCTTGCAGCTTGTCTATGGATCAGGCATTATACTTGGTTCAGTTATAAAATGAATAGGGTAACCTTGGGGGCAAGGATGGAAATGAGTTTGATTTTTTTATCGTTCAGCATTTATGCAAATATGTAATTTATACTTGTACGCTAGACTTTTGTTTTCTAAGTTGCTTTCACTATAATAATAAAAATGTATGTTAGCTGAGCTTTCTCATATAAAATGAAGCAACGGAGCTCCTCAAAGGTCATTCCTTACTTTTATGTAATGGTTTTGTCTTTTATGTTGATAACCATTTCATTGAAGTAGGTGGGGCAGTGATTTTTATCTTCGTTTTACAGATAAGAAAAGCTCAGAGAAAGGAGGTGATCTGTCTGAGCTTTTGTAGCTAGTCAGTCAGTGAGAGGGTGAGGATGGGAACCTCAGTTTCACTCCTAGCCCAGTGCTCCTTCTGTTTTCCGTGCCATGGCTTAATGAGTAAGAGGAAAGACGCTGAACATCTATGCTGGATGTTGGATTTTTAGTTGAACAGGAGACCTCAGAGAGGCTAAGGAAGAATTGCATTGGGGAATGGATGGAAGCAGGCTGAAAACCTGTCAGATGTATTCTGCAGTCTTCGTTGTGAAACTGACATTTGAGCTTTACTTTCATGTCTCTTTAATCTTTCTGTTAAAATGGTATTTATTCTCAATGTTGCTCTTCTGAGTAGATCAAAAAGCAGATCAGGAACCAGACACAAATGAATGCATTCCAGGAAGTGAGTAGCAGGATCTTTCTCACAAATGACTAAATGTTGCCACTCTACATGGTGTTAAATGTACTGAAATAACTAACCCCATTAATAATGCAGCATTTATTATTGTACTAAACTCTTACAGCTTACAAAACTATTTCATTCTGACAAGGGTTTTATTTATTAAAAGTATTTTACTACTCTGTGTTAATTCATGATTCTACTGAGGGATAGTTATACATTTTTAAAATTATATATATATATGTGTTATATATACACACATTATTGCTGAATACTATTATGCTTTTGCCAGTCTCCCTGCTCTTTGAGTCTTTATTTAAAATGATATCACTTGGCAGTATGGTCTGGAGTACTGGATCACCTATGGCCTCTACAAAACACTATAGACATGAAACAATTTATAATGTATTTGGACCTAGGAAAAGACTGTACTTTGACAATTAGGATGTGCTATGGCTGTGTATGCCTCTCTACATTATCTATAGAAGCAAATTTTTTAATGCCCAGGGTTTAAGCCCAGAGGTTCAAAACTAAAATAGTGTAGTTCAATATATAAGGCAAGTGAACCTCTGAATCTTACATTGTAAATGTACATGGCAATATGGATGGATCTAGAGGGCTTTATGCTAACTGAAGTAAGTCAGAGATCACACATATGTGATCTCACGTACATGTGGAATCTTACAAAACAAAAACAACGTGCAGACTCAAAGATATGGAGAACAAATGGGTGTTTGTTGGAGGTCATGATGGAGTGAAAATGTGCAGGGGATTAAGATAAAAAACAAATCATGGGAATGTAATATACAGTATAAGGAATATGGTCAATAATATTGTAATAATATTGGGGACAAATAGTTACTAGACTTATGGTAATCATTTCATAATGTATGCAAATGTCCAATTACTAGGTAGTACACCTGAAACTAATATAATACTGTATGTCAACTATGTTTCAATTAAAAAAAAAATGTATGCACAGTTGTGGTAGCTCATATGCATCAACTAATTAGTACCCACCACCAGGAAAAGATAATGGTTATTCACTGTCTTCTGTTCACTCTTAAGAGTGTTGTTCTTAACTGTGACTATCGTCTTGAGTACAAATAGTGAATTAAAAAGGGATTTGTGGGGACTAGCAAAGAATGCAGATATGCTTGTGTGTCTTCTTGGCATCCCTTTTCAGAGGTGGTTTCAAAATCCTAGGCACTGGAGGGATGAAGATACACATACCGGCCCATAGGATTTTTAATAACAGTTTCCCAACAGTCATTGGATGTACTAATGGTTCTTAAAGAGAAGCGCAGCCAAAGGAAGGAGCCATTAGATAGAGGAAAAGTGCTGATGCTTGAAAACAGTGACTTCTCATCTGAAATCTGAAACTCCGCTCATGAGGTTCTCCTGCCAGAGATGAAGGCGCTGAGCCTTGGCACATGACCTGACAAATTCTTAAGAACTACCTAGGAAATAAGGCATGTGTTATATATACACACATTATTGCTGAATACTATTATGCTTTTGCCAGTCTCCCTGCTCTTTGAGTCTTTATTTAAAATGATATCACTTGGCAGTATGGTCTGGAGTACTGGATCACCTATGGCCTCTACAAAACACTATAGACATGAAACAATTTATAATGTATTTGGACCTAGGAAAAGACTGTACTTTGACAATTAGGATGTGCTATGGCTGTGTATGCCTCTCTACATTATCTATAGAAGCAAATTTTTTAATGCCCAGGGTTTAAGCCCAGAGGTTCAAAACTAAAATAGTGTAGTTCAATATATAAGGCAAGTGAACCTCTGAATCTTACATTGTAAATGTACATGGCAATATGGATGGATCTAGAGGGCTTTATGCTAACTGAAGTAAGTCAGAGATCACACATATGTGATCTCACGTACATGTGGAATCTTGCAAAACAAAAACAACGTGCAGACTCAAAGATATGGAGAACAAATGGGTGTTTGTTGGAGGTCATGATGGAGTGAAAATGTGCAGGGGATTAAGATAAAAAACAAATCATGGGAATGTAATATACAGTATAAGGAATATGGTCAATAATATTGTAATAATATTGGGGACAAATAGTTACTAGACTTATGGTAATCATTTCATAATGTATGCAAATGTCCAATTACTAGGTAGTACACCTGAAACTAATATAATACTGTATGTCAACTATGTTTCAATTAAAAAAAAAATGTATGCACAGTTGTGGTAGCTCATATGCATCAACTAATTAGTACCCACCACCAGGAAAAGATAATGGTTATTCACTGTCTTCTGTTCACTCTTAAGAGTGTTGTTCTTAACTGTGACTATCGTCTTGAGTACAAATAGTGAATTAAAAAGGGATTTGTGGGGACTAGCAAAGAATGCAGATATGCTTGTGTGTCTTCTTGGCATCCCTTTTCAGAGGTGGTTTCAAAATCCTAGGCACTGGAGGGATGAAGATACACATACCGGCCCATAGGATTTTTAATAACAGTTTCCCAACAGTCATTGGATGTGCTAATGGTTCTTAAAGAGAAGCGCAGCCAAAGGAAGGAGCCATTAGATAGAGGAAAAGTGCTGATGCTTGAAAACAGTGACTTCTCATCTGAAATCTGAAACTCCGCTCATGAGGTTCTCCTGCCAGAGATGAAGGCGCTGAGCCTTGGCACATGACCTGACAAATTCTTAAGAACTACCTAGGAAATAAGGCCGCCCAGGCTTCAGCCATTGGTGTGAGTTCTATGCCTGCTGCAGAGGAAAGACTTCTGTCTCTCAGGGGTGTTGGGTAAAGAGGCTTTTCCAGCTGCTCTTGAACTGGCAACTGGATACTTAAGTTTGGACATCTTAGTTTATTTTTCTGTGTTTTATTCAACATTTAGCCTGAGGAGTGGAAACAAACCATAGACATAGATGATGTATGCCTATATATCTGTGTCTTCATTTGTGACCTCCTAATTAGCTTAGCTTTTGGTCAAGGCAAAGAGGCTAATCAGTGCTAAATTTTGGATAAATTAATTTCTCTTTTTTGTGGGTGGTATTTTCCAAGATGACTTTTATTGCCTGGGCTGGGGCTGTTCCTTTTGTTTAGTGAAGAGTGTGTTCTTACCATAAAACAAAATGAAATGCATGGTCAAAACACAAATAACTAAAGCCCAGTAAACATATTACTAAACTGACTACATTTGAGTAGTAAATATATACTTTGAAAGTAATACGGAGCAATGTTATAATAAAGTTTTGCATACTCATTGGGCTATCCTTTGCCCTTGTAGGACCTGATCTTATACTACTTCAGTATAAGTCGCTCAAATACACACCATGGGAAGTAATTAAAGCAGGTTATCATCTTGTGAGACACCATAACTATATTTTGATGCATTTGTGAGCCTAAAACTAGGTGAGAGCTATTATGTGATAAGCAAATATTTAATAGTTCAAGTTTCCATTTTCCTTCATTAGATTTCTTTTAACTAGCAATGAATGTAGCTAATATTTGGGGCTAATCTTGAGCCTTTTGAGTTATAGGTAGACATATAATTTGATTTTTATTTGTTTTCCTAGTATCTCTTCAAAGAGAAGGTCATGTCAGTATATTTATGTCACATGGAAAAGATAATTTAAAGATTTCCTATCAGTTATTTACTTGTTTAGCAAAGACTTATATAGAGCCTAATATGTGCCAAGCACTGTTCTGAGTGCCTTGAAAAATATTAAGCCATTCAATATGAAAGCTCTGATTCACCATAAGAAAAGCGTAGACATTGTCATTCTTAGACTAAGAAGAAGAAAAGTTTTCTAACTAGAGTTAAACATATTAGGAAGAGAATTCATCATCTTGTTGTGACTTCCACATATATACTTACTGTATCAAAAAGAAACTGTGTGCTACATTTTCATATTAAATTCTTAGAGTATCTTAACCTGAGTCATTAATACTTGGCCTTTGGATATTGCTGTTGAAAGTTAGAATTGACAGATAGCTAAATAATTTCTATTTTCAGATAATAATTTCAAAACTGTGGTTTTTTATGATTCTGAGGGAGAAATACTCTTACAGTAATCCCAACAATCACTAAAGAATCCAACCTCCTTTTAAACATCAATAGCCAGGACACTTTTATGATTGAGTTGTGTACAAAGATCCTTGCTATTCAATGAAATAGTTTTTCAGCCTGTAGCATGTTAAAAAAATATATCTCAAGGAGATGAACCAATAAAGTACAGATCTTGTGGTTCAAAGATCTACTGTGAAAAAGTATAAATTAAAACCAATTCATGTTAGTAGTATATTTCAATATAGTTCAAATCCAGTTCTCCAGTCCAATAAAACCTAGTGATTTTTAAGTTCTGTTTTCTGTTTGGTTCAACTCCTTGCTAGTTCTCTCTGTATAATTCATGAAAAGTGCATGTCGCTTACCTTATGGCCCTGTGCATGTGAACCACTGTGCCTTTAACCATTTTACAAAAACGTCTCTGCTCATAGATGGAAAAAAGTGTGTTTTCAACTTATGCCTTAAGTTTGTCTGACAATTGTGAGGATAACTTTGAATGGAAATGCTGTTTAGTTCCCACAGTGTCTTCACAGCCTGATAATCAGTTTTCCCACCCTGACAAACTCAGAAGGATGAGCAAGTCTGTTCCAGCATTTCTCCAAGATGAGGCAAGTTTGTCTTTTGTACCTTCCGAAAAATGGAACCAAATAAGTGGATTTGCTGTGCCAAGGTTGGTGTGTTTGCATTAAGCCACAGCAGAGACCCTAAGAGGCAGCAGGGGTGACCTTTGCCTCTCACATCAATAGATGTAGTGTTTTTGGTCCTGGAATAAGGCAAGGCATATCTCATTTGACTCATATGGTAACTTTTTGGTGGTGAAGCCAGATTGCATACAGGGAATGTGACTTTTGTTTCAAAATAAGAAATCCAGGCCGAAAAATGTTGGCATGAACTTCTCTGCAGTTTAGAGTACGGTTCATTTGTGAAAGCTTAGTCTAGAAACTTAGTCTAGTTTGAAAGCATATGTTAAAATTAGAAAGTATCAGTGACATGGAAAACTTTAAGGATATCAACCGGGTGTAAGCACTTTATATACATTATCTCATTTAATCCTCCAGTAACCCTGGTAGGTGGGCACCATCACTATCCCCGGATATTACAGATGAGGAAACTGAGATTAGGAGAGATCAGGCAACCTCACTCAGCTAGAAAGGGGCTGAACCCAGGACTGGAGTCCAGCTCTGACCTTCATGCTATTAACTACTACACCTTCTGTTTCAAATAAGAACATGACTATTATCTGTTATTCATTTAATACATAGTAAGTACCAGGCACTCTGCTATCTTTTTTTTTTTGTTGCTATCTTTAACTCTTACTAACAAAATGTGGTAGGTACAATTTTTTCCATTTTATACAAGAATAAAGAGCCTCACAGAGCCTTTCCCCAAATTCAACAGCTACTGAAAAGTAGATCTAGGATTTTAACTCAGGTTCTTTGACTTAACTAAGATTCCATGTTTTGCAATCAGGTCATTAGGAGTCTGAGGTTTGATGTTAGACACTCCCACCCTAGTTATGCTGCTGATTTGCTATGTGGATATGGACAATTTCCTTAACTTCCCTGAACGCTTTCCTAGTACATAACTCATTAGATTGTAAGGAGTCAGTGAGATAATGCAGGGAAACCACAGCTCAGTGCTGACACGTAGTACCTTAGTGCTTGCTGTTGCTGTTTGCAGTTTTGGTCTGATTTTTCATGATGAAATAAAAGCTTCATCCTTTCTCTTAGTAGATGGAATGTAAGGAAAGCTCTGAAAACATGCGAATTACATCCCTCCTCCCCAGCCTCCCGGGAACCCTTCTGTCTACACTTGAGCCTTCCATGAACTTTTTCAGAAAATATTCAACCCCTGCATGTGCTTAAGAGCCCACATTAGAGTTGCTTTGGAAAGAAGCACTCATTCTTTGAAACAAACTCATGAGCTAGAAGCCAGCATAGGTACCTCATGGAGTTTCTGTGGTTTTATACCTTTGTAGATGTGCTTTGGTCTTGGCTGGTCATACGAATAAAACATCTAATAATTTGAGAGGCAAATGATACCAGTTGCTGATTTTTTTTTCTCCTTCAGTTTTAACCTGCTGCCTCATTGCTCCACACGAAAGATAGTCCAAATAGAGTCTGTGGATCAGAGATGCCAAATTAAGCTATATTGTTTTACCTTTCAAAGTACTTGGGGTTGGACTGAATGTTAAAGAATGTGGGATAAAATCAGACTTTGCTTCTTCGTCCACTGTCCCTTTGAGGCTTACCATCAGTCACGTTTGTTGAGTGCCAACTTTGGGAAAATCATTGTTACAAGTCATCAAGACAAGGTCCTGTCCTTTCAATAATCACTAATGATCTGATGTACCAGGTAGAATGTATTATGGCTGTGATAGAGGGAAATGGTCTCTAAGCATGTGGGGAGGGAGTGTGATAATAGAAACATTAAAAAGGTGTGGATTTTTTTCATCCTTGAGGAAGGATTCTTTTCTCATCCACATAAATCATAATCGTTTAACTCCTTTCTTAATCTGCATTAGGATTGGCATCTGTTATATTGACATGTAATTGCATGGCCCTGGAATATGTTGGCATGAACTAACCGCTCCTTTGTAAAGGTGTTTCCCTCACCCCAGGAGCCACTGAACTGCTCCATAAACTCTCTAACCCCAAAAGGAGCTCATTCTGAATCACAGATCCTTAAAGCTACCATCTAATAAACTATAGATCTAAATATAATAAAATTTATTATCACCACTTTTTCTTTCTTGACCCAGGTAAATATTTCCAGGGACATATTTAAAATAAACACCTTACTGCAATTTTTAAAAATTTGTTAAAATACAATGTGGATAGAATGTATAATTCAATATACCTCCCTGTAGCAACAAAAAAGATAAGCACGGTAACTCTAGGAATACCTAAGAGGTGGTTTAAAATTACATATCAGTTCAGTTCACATGTGTGTGTGTATGCACATACATACGTATATGAAAAACTTGAAACACAGATCAGATTAGAATTGTTTTCCCTAGTTTAATAGTGTCTCAAGTAAAAGATTTGATTTTTAGGGAAGTTAAGCCTATGTTACCGAGAGAAGTTAGGCATGACATTTTATGATTTAAGAGTAAATATTAGACCTTTTATTGTCTAGGTAAAGATAGTTTCTCATATGTATCAATAAAGTTTGCCAAGCAATATAAATGTGTAATATTAAGAGAAAGCCAAGAAAGCTCACAATATGCTATCTTCTGTAGCACCTCGGGGCCACCTTGCTGGTGAAAAAAAAAATCACTTTGTTATTTCAGTAGCTAAACACTGCTCTCCTGCTTAAGTGAGATCCTGGGTAGACCACCCACCCCATCTTGAATACCATTCCTTGGCAGTTAGCACTGCTGTCCTTTGACCTTGGAAAATGTCATACATGAGTGGGATACCAAGCTATTATCTTTATCTAAACTAAGATCATGATCTTGACTCTTTCTGAATTTGAATTTTGTGTGTATTATATGATGTTTTGTAGAGTGATGACAGAGAGACAGATACAGCATCAGAAGGCAGTTACCAGCTCAGCAGACACAAGAAGAGCCCAAGCTCTTTAACCAATCTTAGCAGCTCCTCTGGCATGACGTCCTTGTCTTCTGTATGTAAACAAAGGCTTTGTGTTAATATCCCCCTGCTTCTGCCAACCTTGCTCTGCCACGCTCCTGCCCCTGTAAAATGGCCTTTTGTTATATTTCTCGGATTCCAGGGGTGTGAGAGTTTTGTTTTTTATCTAACCCACAATTAGCTTCTGGCTAGCTACATCTTCCTTTCTTCTCTTTTTTTAATCACAAGACTGTTCATATCCAAGATAAACAGATACCGTTTGTTTTGGATGTTAAGTACTTCAAAAATAAACCTAAATTACCAACAGGATGAACCGCTAAACTTCTCTGTGCAGCGAATGGGGTAACTATTACAAAGTCTGCTTTTATCAGATATGATTTTATGTGCTCTTTGCAGGCATAGAATTGTACCTCTTTTAGCAGGTCATTTATTCTGACAACTAAAAGTACTGATTCACATTAAAAGGTGAGGTGATTCTTTGCCTCATGGAAGGATTCAGAATGGGATTTTCCAAAGGAAGCTCCCTAAGTGTAGTTGCTCAGATTTTATTTGGAGAATTTGACTTTTTATAGAAGTGAGATAGTTTTGTGTGTGCATGTAGCATGTGTATAGCGATATATATGTATGTAAATATGTCCACATACATTTATCCAAATATCTATGATCTGTATATACATGCACAGATCTCATCAGATATGCTAAACACATGATAAATCTGTGCTTAAATTCTTACTGGCCTTGCATTTTTCAAACTCTTTTTTAAAAAATCTATTTAAATTGAATGTCTGCTGATAACAATCAAATGTATGGCCTTGGGAAGGCTTTAAACTTGCTTCATCAATCATCCATTTTCTACCCTTCCTGACCTCTAAAAGTGTATGGCTCAGTAAGCATTTTCTTAGCATCAGTGGATGGGTAACATAGTAAAATTCCTTTTTAGTGCCTTGGATATTTGATAGAGCAATGTGTCACTGTGTTTTTTGTGCCTGGGGTTTCTCACATCCTCTTTATTTAACATTTTAAATTCTAAGCATGCCTAAAAATGGGACTCTGAGTGCCCCAACCATAAAGTCACCCTGGTTTGAAATGAGTCAGCATCGAAATAACTTTGCATTTCATACTTTTCATCTATGTTTCTTACAGGCAGTTTTTGTTAAACACCAGTCATCATGTCATGTATATCATGTCAGGTTGTCTGTGTTGGTATGCTTTTTCATTGCCATATTAAATTAGCTGCTTTTATATGCAAACTAGAGAAATAATGGCAAGCAAAGATTACACCCATGTAATCCTTGTGCTGGATTCGAGAGTGAGACAGAGACAGACACCACGTGTTTTCCGACGTTTTCAGGTCAGCGGCAGTGTGATGAGTGTTTATAGTGGAGACTTTGGCAATCTGGAAGTGAAAGGAAATATCCAATTTGCCATCGACTACGTGGACTCACTAAAGGAGTTGCATGTCTTTGTGGCCCAGTGTAAAGACTTAGCAGCAGCAGATATTAAGAAACAGCGTTCGGACCCGTAAGTACATTTTGGAGTCACTATTTTCTCTTAGTTACTCTTGTAGAAATTGGGAAAAAAAGAAAGAAATTGAAGGGAAAGTATGTGTGTGACTGTGTTAAAAAGGAATGTTCAGGGGAAAAAACGGGATGGGGGGGAAAGAGTTGGGAAAAAATGCTGTTTATAGATTCATACGCCAAACTTACTAAATTATAAGAATGTCAGAGAAACACAAAGCATTTCAAGTTGGAAGAACCTTTGAGGTCATCCTGTCCTGATTCTTTCTTTTTCACAGATAAGGAAACAAAGGATAGAGAAGATAAGTACTGTTTGTTTATAGCAGCACAATGAGTAATGAGGACTTGAGTCCCCTTTCTCTGCACACTTTTAGACTTTCTCTAAAAGGGGGGACGTGTTGGGCATACTTTATAGTGCTCAGTGATGTAGAGATAGATAAGATTCTAGAATAAGGTAGTTTCCACATTTAAATTATATTCTACAGAACTTTAGGGGGAATTACTAATTCATTTTGGAAATCACAGGTTTATTGGCATTTCAGTTCAGTTATAAAAGTTGAATGACAGTCCCCATTTACTCCTATGCAGAAGTCTATTCTTAATTATTTTGCTAGCATAAGCCCAACCCTTTGTTTTTGTTATAAAAGTAGCTGGGCCCAATAGCTTTACTTTTTTTCTTTTTTTTCTTTTTGTTTTGTTTTACATTGAATATGTCCTGATTAGGTATATACCAAGATTTTTCTTTCAAAAGACAGTCTTTTTTAATTCTGCAAGCATCAAAGCCTTTTCTTAATAGGACACTAGCCAATGAAATTAAGCATCACACTAGAGGTCAGTTGTCTTCCCCCTGCCCTACATTAGTTAAGGTCAAAGGAAGAAAGGAATTCAGGGACTACCCCTTAAAAATCTTCAAAACAATTTAAAATGATCCATTCCACTGAAATCACTTAAAAGTTTAAGTATAAAGGTGTTGATGAGAGCATTTATTGTATACTACTTTCGCTAGTGTCATGAAATAATTATTCCTATCAATTTCTAATGCATTTTTAAAAGCACAAGTAGACATGTCACTTGTATTTTCTCTGACCTTCTTGTCTGTTCAATTCTCTTTTTAGGTATGTAAAGACTTACCTATTACCAGACAAAGGCAAAATGGGCAAGAAGAAAACACTTGTAGTGAAGAAAACTTTGAATCCTGTGTATAACGAGATACTGCGGGTACCTACGACCTCTCTATCTAGGAAAATCCCAAATGGTGACCTATGCATTTAAGAGGCCATATCATCTTCGGTAGTATCTCTGCAGAGGAAGTCAGTCCCCGAGAGAGAAGGAAATGAATAACCACTTTCTGAGAATCTGCTTTGTATGAGATGATACACCGTGACTGTTGTATGCCTTGTCTCATGCACGCCCTCCATACTCTGCCAGGGGTTATTATTATCTGCATCTCACAGATGAGGCAAATGAAGCTTTAGGGAAATAAAGGAAACTGGATACACAGATGATAAAGTTGAGCACCACAGCCAAAACAATCTTCTAAAAGCCCAATTCTGATCATGTTATTTCTCTGCTTAAAATCTTGGAGGACTCCCATTAGCCTTAAGGTCAAGCCCACCCATTTTAACACGCACACCCCTCCCTTGAGAACCTGAGCTCTGGCCTCATCTTTCCGCTTTCATTGTCTTTCTTCAGGTTACCCTGATTCCTTTCTGTTCTTTGGAGGAATTAGATTCTCTCACTCTGCTGGGACTTTCTCTTCCTTCAAACTGGGATTTCTTCCCCACATGCTGTCCATAACTACTTCCCACAGCCTGAAATGCCTCTTCCTGTGAGAGGCTGTCCTTAACTCATAAGTTTCCCTGCTGTTTGCTGCCTCAGTGTCTTTGTTTCACAATAGGCGGTGTTGACATTCAGCACTTTAACTGCTGGTTTAATTGTAAATTCCACAAGAGCAGGGATCAACTCTAGGTTGCTTGTAAACTGTGTGCCTTGTGCAAATGACTTAACCCATCTGCACTTTAGATCTGCAAATGGGAGATAAGAAGGGTACCTATGTGGGACTTCCCCAGCAGTCCAGTAGTTAAGAATCCGAGCTTCTACTGCAGGGACCACAGGTTCAATCCTTGGTGGGGGAACTAAGATCCTTCCTGCTGCATGGTGTGGCCAAAAAGTTTTTAAAATTAATTTATGATAAACAAAGAATAGTGCCTACCTACCTCAGAAGTTGTGAACATTAAAAGAGTTAATATGTGTAAAGTAAGAAGTATGCATTAGTGTGTGTTAGTCACTTAGACATGTCTGACTCTTTGTGACCCCATGGGCTGTAGCCCGCCAGGCTCCTCTGTCCATGGTTTTCTCCAGGCAAGGATACTAGAGTGGGTTGCCATTTCCTCCTCCAGGGGATCTTCCCAACCCAGGGATTGAACCCAGGTCTCCTACATTGCAGGCAGATTCTTTACCATCTGAGCTATAGGGAAGTCCATAGTATAGTATGCATAGTATGCATTAAACACTTAGTAAATGATGGCTCTTAGTACAGTGTCTGGGATAGGTACTTTAAAAATGTTTATTGGAAGGAGAGATGGCTGGATAGATGAGTGGAGAATATACCTCACTCAAATGCCCATGTTCTATCTTCCTTCAAACTATTTCATGCTGCCTTAGTCATGGGCAACAGATTATTTAAAACAACAAATGTGAGAAGTAGTATTCATTCTCTCTTTCTGAAAATACTGTCCAAGTATTTGGTTATCCTCTGAGAAAAAGAGCGGCATTAAGTTAACCCTCAGTTATCCATGAGTGAATTGTCTGTGGATTTTCTGTAGCAAGTTTTTAATTACAGTTTGACTGTGATATGCCTCAGCACCCTTGCTATTTCTAGGTCATCTACTTCAACCATGAACTCAGGAAAAGCCAGCTCATTTAAATGGTAAACTCAGAGAAAAGCAAGTCTACTACAACCAAAATGGACATTCATGTAGTATATCATAAAGCCAAGTAGAGATTATTTTTAGATTAGAAGGACTATTATCCCTTCCATAATTATGTATAATCAAGAATTGACTACATTTCAGATTATAACTGTTAAGATACCCCGCAAAAAAACAAAAAACAGGTTGACCTTTTCTTGAAAAATATTTTGTCCTTGCCAAGTATCAGTGATTGGAGAGATTGTATATATATGGAGCAGGTGGAATATGGGAACTCTTCTGTACTTTCTTTTCAATTTTGTGCACATCTTGAACTGCTCTAACAATTAATCTATTTAAAAAAGTACCTTGTCCTCAAGTAGAAAACAGACCATTGGATTAAACTTCATTTGTATTTTTAGACTGAATTGGATTCATGTTATATCTAGTTAGAATTAAAAACATCCAGTAAAAATTGTTTTTAGAGAGCTATTACCAACAATGATACTTGAGCCATGATTTGCTTTTCCAGAGAGGGAAAGAAAAATCAGCTTTTTGAAAGATGGATTTTAGCTCTTTGAAACAAGGCACTTAGAATAAGATGACTTTGCAGTATTTTTTGAGACTTGAAACCTAACAGATGAGAAAAATCTGATGTACACAGAGGACTTTATCTTCACCTCTATATCATAACTTTGGCCTAAAATAATATTATTTACCCCTTTAATTTCCTTCTTTGAACTGCAGTATAAAATCGACAAGCAAATCTTAAAGACACAAAAGCTGAACCTGTCTGTCTGGCATCGAGATACATTTAAGCGCAATAGTTTTCTAGGGGAAGTGGAACTTGATTTGGAAACTTGGAACTGGGACAACAAACAGAATAAACAATTGAAGTGGTACCCTCTAAAGCGGAAGGTAAGTTTGGAGTTTTTTTGTTTGGTTTGGTGGTTTGGGACCTGGGATTCAGGAGAGAGCTGCTATAGAATTCCATTTTCATTCAGAATGCTTATCCAATTTTGGGGATCATCATGTCTTTTCACTCTGTCCCATAAGTCTCTTAGGCTCCTTTCTGTGTTTTCTAGTCTCTCCTCCCCTATCTGTTCTTTAGGCTGGCTAGTTTCTGCTAACCTATCTTTTAGTTAAACAATTTTCTTATCTGCTGTATCTAATCTAGTATCTATCTAATATCTAGATGGATATCTATGGGTCCTCAGTTATTATACTTTCAGATTTATATTTTCACTTGATTCTTCTTTATAGATTCTATTTCTCTGCTAAAATTCCTTATCTTCTCATTATCTTTATGAATTTATTAATCAAAGTTACTCAAAGTATGTATCTGAAAACTCCTATATCTTAAACATTTGTGAGTCTCCTCTGATTTTTATTGTGTGGTCATTTGGTCCTTTGTTCTGGTATGCCTGTTCATTTTTTTATTGCACACTGGACACTGCATATGAAAAATTCTAGGGGTAATTTGAGAGGATTTACTTTTGCATTTGATACACAGAGAAAGGACACACTGCCTCAATCTAAGCAAAGGATTAAAGGCAAAGAATTAAAAGCAAAGCACTCTTCTCCTAAGTTAGCACTACTCAAAACGCAGCTAATGCCTCAAAGTGGAAAGAAAGCATTTCAGGCTACAACAGCTTATCCATTTGAACCCTATCTATCTTAATAATTCTTCAGCACCTTCAAATAGATTTGTTTAATCCAGTTTTTTTTGTTGTTGTTCTCAATGTGAGGGTTAGTGTGATACACACAATTTATACAAACTGTTAAGTATCTATACAGTAAAGCCATTCTTTAAGGAATGGTTCCAAAATACCACATCAAAGTCACTTTAAGCTCTTATTTCTAGGTCTATCCAAGACTTGCTAGTTAAGAATTTCTCAGAAGTTATCAAAAGCATCTCATTTTTAGCTTCTTTCTGTTATGTTTCTGACATACAGCCCTGTTTTGGCCATAAGGCTCTCAAAGACCAGAATTTGAAAGTAAAACTAACTGTTTTATAATAAATGTACATTTAAAAAAATGTATTTATTTATTTTAATTGGAGGCTAATTACTTTACAATACTGTGGTGGTTTTTACCATACATTGACCTGAATCAGCCATGGGCGTACACTGTAAAATGATTGTCCAGTTTTTGTATTCTTACAGGCATCTCCTCATCTGGTCTAAAATAATTAGGTTAATGCAGCTATGAAAATGTATTATTTGTCCCCCACCCGTACCCCGGATCTTCCTACTCCTTTAAAGAAAGAAAATACAGATAAGTTGTTTTATGTGCTGGCTGGATCACTAACAAAAATGTATGTGTTTTTATAAAAAAATCTAAGCATTTCAGAACACCTTTCCCATCTCCAGGAAAGCCATTCTGATTTCTCTGAACTGAAGGACTTACAATGTGTTCTGGGTACCCCGCAGAGTTTTCCAGGATACACAGTGTAGCCTTCCCAGATATCAAAGCAACAGTCCATCTGTGATGGGGAGGGAAATTTCACTCCAGGGCACTCATGAATGATACCTAACCTCAGAAATGAGGCAGGTATGGCCCTGTAACAGCACAACAAACGTGGTGAATAGTTTGTGTCTCACACCTGCTGACATGCCTTCATTTTCCAGACAGCACCAGTTCCCCTTGAAGCAGAAAACAGAGGTGAGATGAAGTTGGCTCTCCAGTATGTCCCGGAGCCAATGCCTGGTATGTACTGATTTTCTGTCCAGATTTATGGCCTTACCTTAGCCTTCCCCTCTCCAAGGATTTCTTTGAGTTCTATGGTTTTTGTTTTTTTTTTTAATTTTCAAAAGTGAAGCTCTAAATTAACTTACTAACTTAGTAAGGGTTCAAATGAGTCAATCCACACTTGTAAACTAGAAAATTTTCTTTAATTGTGGTCAAAACACATAACATACAATAAAACCCCACATAACATAAAATTTTTCTTAACCATGTTTAAGTGTGCGATTAGTTGTGGTGGTTGCATGCTCGCTCACTTGTGTTCGATTCTTTGCGACCCCATGGACTCCGCCAGACTCCTCTGTCCACGTGATTCTCCAGGCAAGAGCGCTGGGTGGGTTGTCATCTCCTCCTCCGGGGGATCAATCTTCCTGACTCAGAGACTGAACCCTCATCTCCTGCATTGACAGGCAGATTCTTTACCACTGTGCCTCCTGGGAAGCCCATTAGCAGTGTTAAGTATCTTTACAATGCTGTGAAGCATGTCTCTGGACTTTTTCATCTTGTATGTCTGGAACTCTGTACCCATTAAACCACAACTCTTCTCTTGCCCTTCCTTCCAGGGTCCCTTTCCTGGTAGCCACCATTATATTTTTTCTGTTTCTTTGAGAAAAACTCTCATTTTTTTCTCAGCCCAGTTTACAGCCCTTGTTTTAACTTTGGCCTCGCTGTCCCCAAAGTTTGTGTCTACACAGTGTAAATGGCCCTTCCTCTGTAGTGCTCTGATACAAATGGAACTGGGGTAGTTCTTCCCCCCCTTAGGTGGGAATGAAAAGAATTTATATTAAGCCCCTAAGAAATTAGAGCTCATTTGTCCTCTACCCTCAAGGTCTCATTAGGGTAGGAAGTTTTTTTTTCAAAATTACGACTTTACATCCTTGATGTTAGAGCCTCGGGTCTCCAGCACAGTTAAGGAGCAAGAGACTGTCAGGAAATGAGTGCTAACCCTTCTCTCATTCCCCACACAGTTCCCTAAGTTACTCTCCTTGAGAATTCATATGAGGGACGTCCGTGGTGGTCCAGTGGCTACGCTTCTGTGCTCCCAGTGCAGGGGGCCAGGGTTCGATCCTCCTTGGGGAACTAGACCCCACGTGACCAGCTAAAAGTTTGCACAGCACAACTAAAGAGCCCGAACGCTGCATCTAAGACCCAGCACAGCCAAATAGATAAATAAATAGAAATAAACGTTTCTTGAAGGTAGTGGGATGACAGAAATGATGGTGAGGGTAGTGATTAAACAGAGAAAGGCATTCCAATTCAGCTAAAAAAAAAAAAAGAGAGAGTGAGGACAAGCAAAAGGTATCTTTAGGCCACATGGACCCAAACTGCCATCTTGTTACATCTGGATCTTTTTAAAAGACAGATTCTTTTCTATATAATTTGTATCCTATCATTTATGGTCAACATACATAGAAATTCTGCTAGTCTCATTTCCCATTTTCCCCATGATTATTTTTTGCTGGGGGAGGGGCTGGAGACACGCATGTGATGGACTCCAGCTTGTCTGAGTTTTTGCTCCTATAATAGTTTCTCCTCCCTGGAATGGCTTCCTCATCCCCTAAACCTGTCCAAATCTTTAGATGAAATCCCATCTCCTCCGTAAAGCTTTTCCTGAATGCATTTACCCTCACTGATCACACCATCTTCTAGAACATCACAGTAATAACTTGGCATTTCATTCTATATTACATTTTACTGCTTTTATTGAGTTTCTATCTCTAGCTTACCTGTAAACATTTCCCAAGCACATAGATTTCTTGCATTCCTTGTATATCCAACAGCATTCCTAGCACAGGGCTGAGCATATAATAGGTGCTCATTAAACACTGATTGGTTGACAGATTGGGTTCACCCATCCAGAAAAACATGGGGTCGCAAAGAGTCGGACACAACTGAGAGATTAACACTTTCACTTTTTTCCCTCCATTCATGTGCACCCAACCTATATAGAAACTTCCCACTAAGGCCAATTTCTCAGCAATTATCTGTCTATAATATTGGCTCTTGTGTATGTCTATACAATACTCCTATAAAATGTGTAACTACTTTTAACAAGAGTGACTATACCTAAGCCAGTACCTGTTTTGGTTACTTCATACTCAGATTTGTTTAAATGCCTCCTATGAGCACAGATTGATACTGGTATTCATATTTGAAAAGTATATGCATCTCACTGAGTAGTTTTGAACATAACTGTAAATGGATGATTCACATGCCTAATATCTATCATTGATCTTGTTGAACCAAGCAAGACCCAGAAACAATGATGTAATATTCTGTACTTGCAATGAATTATTTTTATAGAGTTACTTGAGCTCAATACAGCCAGACTATGAAAGAGGTCATTAAGAATAGATATAATCATTTAAGATCATATCATCAAGCACTCAGTCGCGTTGCTGTGCCAGACCATTTTTATATTGGCATCTTCGGAGGCAGCACTGCCAAGAGAGGAATGGCAGTGGAATTTCATTTTCTCTCTCTTTCTGTTATAGGTAAAAAACTTCCTACAGCTGGAGAAGTGCACATCTGGGTGAAGGAATGCCTCGATCTGCCACTGCTAAGGGGCAGCCATCTAAATTCTTTTGTTAAATGGTACCAGCATTGATAATTCTGCCTTCCTCAGTTCCACAACAGCCTGGCCTTTGCCAATTGGTTTTAATTCTCTGTAACTATAATGCTGAAGTTCATCATTCATAGTATAAATGAAATAACTTGAGACAGTGGTGACACAAGCTAGAAGGATCTTTGACATGAACCCCCTGCAAGGCTCCATTTAGTTTAAGAGGGAATATATACAATGGAAACCGGAGGCCACACACTCAGATATATAATGTCTTCTAGGAGGTACATCTCCTGGTGAGGACAATATTCAGTATCAAAGGGCTTATGAAATGGCTAATGGTGATGCCACACCCCTTGTATCATTTGTGGAACATCTGTATTGTGGCCCATTTGCAAAAAAAGCCTTTTGCGTCAGCCTGTGAATATCTGGAAGTTTTCTGATAAACAGATCCATACTAATAATTAGCTCTTTAGAACTTGAAACAATTTGGGTTTTTAAGTTGCAAACCTTTTCTCAGTTTTAATGTAAATGCCTAGCATCTAGAAAATAGTAACTAAACAGATGTTATTGTGCTGTCCTGACTTTCTCTAACTAATTTTATCTATATAGATTTTATCAGAAGACCAATTATAGTTATTTAAGTTTATATGACATTATTTAGGATTTTCGCTATACATGTTCTTCACAGATGTCAACTGGTAAGCCTTTCAGCTCAGGTCAATCTTCCATTCCAACACTAGGCCCAACCCTTCTTGCCTTTACAAGATGCATGGTAAGGTAAATTAATTTCAATTATTACCATAAATTATATGTAAATAATCACAAATATGTAATATAATTTATTCCCAAAGTCAAATCTAGGGAATTGGAGAGGCTTCTTTTTCAATTCTGTATAAGACTAATTTCTTAGGCTCTCACAGATAATCAGGAGTAGATTTTAGAGGAATCCTCGAACAGTTGCTATATAGTAAATGCTAAATGCAGGTACTGAACTAAATTGTTTGCTTAATCTGTAATCCTAATATTAACCTTATGAGGTAGGCATCACCATTCCCATTTAATAGATGAGGAAGCAAGTGTCTGAGATATTAAGTCAATTTCCCACAATACAAAGCCACTAAGTAGCAGAGTCAGGACTTCCTCAAAGCAAGTCTGGTCCACTCTAGTGCATAATCTTGCCAGCAGAATGCCCACCATTACCATCTCTCTACGTTCTTTTTCCTTCCATTTCCTCTTGCCAATCCTCAGCAGCTGAAGCACAGTAAAAGCAAGAGAGTTTGCTGTCTTAATCCAATGCTCTCACAATAATGTTTCCTTTTGTAGTACCATCCTTCCAGATACAAGTAGGAAGAGTCGCCAGAAGACGAGAGCTGTGGGGAAAACCACCAACCCTGTCTTCAACCACACCATGGTCTATGATGGGTTCAGGCCTGAGGATCTGACAGAAGCCTGTGTAGAGCTGACTGTCTGGGACCATTACAAATTAACCAACCAGTTTTTGGGAGGTCTTCGGATTGGCTTTGGAACAGGTAACATGTGTTACATTTTAAATTTTCCATGAGTCTAATGCTTCTGGAGACACCAGAGGTTGGTTGGTTTGCTTCTTCCTAATGAAAACAGATACTCTATTGCTGTTAAGTGTAGTGAAATGAATGAGTGAAGGAATGCCAGGCTGTGTGCCAGGGACTCTAGATATGAAGACTAATAGGATGCTGTGCTTGCCCACACAGAGCTTAAGTTATTGTGGGGGAAACCAGAAAAGCCTTCATCACTACCCTTTCCTGAAAAACAGTTTATGGCCCTTCATGGCTAAATGTGTGCTTTGCATAATAACAGCAACTAACATTTATGGAGCACTGGTCACTGTACCCAGTGCTTTATTTGCATTATTGCATTCGATCCTCACAGAAGTTCTACGAGTTATTGCTAATGTTATGCCCAGAGACACTGATGTTCCAAGAAATTAAGAAACAGAGCTAATAAGTGGCAGAGCCAAGATTCAAAATTGAGTCTGTTAGACACTAAAGCTATAACTACACTTTCTTAGAGATCACCTACTGTCGCTTTCAACCCAATGCTGGAATCCTCCCTACGGTTCCATGATATACCTGACAGATTCTCATCTACATTCTATATGGACAAGAAGAGAAGTCACTATCTGAGAGTAATGAGAATAATCCCAATTGTGGAGAGTTCCATTATCAGACATCTCATATGATTAAACAGTTCTTTTCTTCTGTTGAGTCCCATCCCCACTGGTGATGTTAAAACTCTTCCTAGCTGTCTCCATTGGTGATTATAATTAGGGAATGACTCAGTTTTTCCCAATGAGCTCTTCGTTTCTAAATGCAAAGCTTCCTTCCCTTTTTTGTCAGGTAAAAGCTATGGTACTGAAGTGGATTGGATGGACTCTACTTCAGAGGAAGTGGCTCTCTGGGAAAAGATGGTGAAGTCTCCCAACACTTGGATCGAAGCAATCCTGCCTCTCCGAATGCTGTTGATTGCCAAGATTTCCAAGTGAAGCCAAAGTCCACGGGCTCCTCCACTGAAAACCACCAGACAGGTGGAGTCTGATCTTGTAGGCAGAGAGCCTCACCTTCCATCTGTTACCTGGAACAAATGCTACATAGCATGTTAAAGTCAACCTGCACATACTTCTTTGGTTACAAAGACTAAAAAACTTAAATAATAACAAAATGTGTAACTTAATTTGTGACTGCAACGTTAAAAGAAGATGTTTGAGAAAGCTAAGAAAATCAAAGATTTGCTGCTGCATCAAAGAAAAAGCTGCCAAAAAATATTAAATGTTGTTAATAAGCAAAAGTTTCCAGTTTGCCATCATGTGTTTCAAACCAGAAAAGGGTTAGGAAGGCCTCCCACTTGATCATTGAAAACCCTTGCAGGAATTGAAAAAAATGTTGGTTGTAGAAGAGTGACTCAAAGATATTCCTATGAGCAGGGGGGAAAAAAAATTAGAATATTGTGAATAAAGAATTTGTTCATAAGAAAACTATTCACTCTGTAGTCACTACTGAAATATGGAATTCCTTGTTAGGGCAAAGAGACTGAATTTACTGCATGTATTTTTGCTTTGAGAAGTGTTCCCTTTTCCCAATGTTAAAATCTTATGTGCTTTGGTGCCACCCACTGGCCATAGGTGAAATTAAGTTTTTGGCTTAATTTTCTCCTAAGTTTCAAGCCTGTATTTTATAATAGGGTACCCATATATAAAACAAAGAACAAAAACTTTGCATATATAAGATTCTGTTTTTCTTACAACTCTACTATATGAAGCAGCATGAGAGTGGTCACAAACATGATTTGCGACAAAGTTTTAATTAGAATGTAAATTGTTAAATTATACTGTCCTTCCTATGTATGTATAATTTTCATAAAGTATTTTGTAAAAACCCTTAGAATAAATTATTATATGATTTAATGGTATTGTCAAAGTAATCTTACTTCTTATTTTAAATGAAATACTTTATGTTAGGAATCTTAAAGTCCAGGACTTCCCTGGTGGTCTAGTGCTTAAGAGTCTGCCTGCCAACGCAGGGAACACAGGTCTGGGAAGATGCCACATGCCACGGGGCAACTAAGCATGTGTGCCACAACTACTGAGCCCATGCGCCTTAGAACCATGCTCCGCAACAAGAGAAGCTCCTGAAATGAGAAGCCTGCACCCTGCAATAGCGAGTAGCCCACACTCATCAGAACGAGAGAAAGCCGGCATGCAACAGTGAAGACCCAGCACAGCCAAACATAAATAAATAAACATTTTCAAAAACTTCTTTTAAAGAAGGAATTCTAGAATCTAAATTCACAAGCCAGGCTAAAGAACTTCTGGGCTAATATTTCTCCAAAGTCTTTGCTGCAACTCTGGGCCTGATTTTCTCTAAACTGAAAGCTTCAGCTATGTTATTAAGAGTAGAAGTTTTATTTTTTAGAAGTAGCTGAAAGCTTTGAAGGTAAGTTGTCATTTATTCTTCAAGTTTTCCATAAAGACATTGTTGGGTCATTTAATACACAAATCATCACTCCCTGTTGGAACTCCACTAGCTTGTCATTCCCAAAACAAGCTGATGATGGCTCAGCAGTTAAAGAATCTGCTTTCAGTGCAGGAGATACAGGAGTTCAATCCCAGGGTTCAATCCCTGGGTCTGGAAGATCCCCTGGAGGGGTAAATGGCAACCCACTCCAATATTCTTGCCTGAAAAATCACAGAGGAGCCTGCAGCCCATGAGCTCAAAAAGAGTTGGACATGATTGAACAACTAAGCATGCATGCAGGCAGGGCAAGCCTTGATGGAGATGAGCTCTTAAAATAAGTATCTAACAAATGCCACTGAAAACAGCTCCAGTGCTTGCCTCTTCTCCCAAACAAATGCTAGAACCTTTGACCCACTGGCCAGTAAAAGCAACTAACCTAGAACAACACCCTTGCCCCATTGTCTCTCAAGGTCTTTTAGGAGGTTGTTTATCTAATTGTATTTCCTCTTCCTGTTCTGACTGCAGAGAGGGGCAAGACCAGGTGACTAGAGACACACCTCGGAGGTTGGCCTGGAACCAGAGCAGAAGGACAGACCCTGTTCCAGCCCCTGTCACTTCATACTACAAGCTACTTTCTCAGCCCATTTTTCTTTCAGTTACCTTCTCAGTCATCTGCTAGCATCCAGCCAGCTCAGAAGCACTAATGAGATCGTTTCTAGTATCTCCCCATCTGGGGCTAGGACTGCCTGCCTCCCCTATTCCCAGATTTACAAAACACCAGAGTGGACAACCGAACCATCCTTGCATCTACCCGAAGAACTTCCAACTGCCTCAGGACACCCAGGGAGATGTCATGTCACTTTTTCTTTCCCAAAAAAGGAAATATAAATCTTTAATCTCACCTGGCTGTAAGGCAAAGGCTAAACGGGATTTTCATGCATTATAAAGTGTGGGCCACCTGAATTCTTTAGTGAACTCAGGTTGGCAGACTTTTGATTCAGTGGGATTTTTGGCAAAGTCCCTGCTGAAAATTTTCATTTTCTTAAACTAGAGGTGCTCCCTTGGATTGCATGTTTTAGGGCTCTTTTCCTTTTTTCAGAAACCCAATCAGAAATAAGCCAAAATACACTGGGTTAGTGTATGACACTTTGTTAGTATGTTTGACTTTAGGGACTTATGGGTGAAACATGAGTTCCCAGGAACTCCAATACTGTCTCTTTCTTCCTTGGTGGTGGTGGATGAACCCCTAAGTAATGTCTGACTCATGCAACCCTGTGGCTGTAGCCCACCAGGCTCCTCTGTCCATGGGATTTCCCAAGCAAGAGTATTAGAGTGGTTTGCCATTTCCTTCTCCAGGGGATCTTTCCAACCCAGGGATCAAACCCGCGTCTCCTGCAGTGTTGATGGTCTCCTGCATTGCAGGCGGTTGCTTTTACCGCTGAACCACCAGGGAATCCCCTGACTTCCTTGGGAGTAGGAAATAGCACCACAAACAGCTCCAACATCACAAGCTCTCAGCTAAAGCACTCCTCTTTCCTAGGTTCAGCTTGAGAGAACTTTGGGAGAAACTGGCCGAGCCTGGGTCATGTCCTCACCTGCTGCACCACTCACAGTGGCCAGGAGTGGATAGGGTAAGCTCTTGTGACTGGTCCTACCTGAGTTATGTGTCCACCCTGTGGCCAGGGAGAAGGGATCCATTTTCAGAAGAATGGGGTGTTATATAGACAGGCACTGGAAAAATCAAGAGCTAGGTACCCATTGCAATTTGTATCCCCCTCTGGTGAAAATACTTCCAAATTCCATTATTTTGAAAATGAAGTAATATTTGGAAAAGTCACTGCTGGCTTTTCCCAGAGAAGCCAACATTTCCACACCCTCCGTGACTGCTGCAGCTTCTAAATAGGTGATAAGGCTCCTGGGAACTGCATGACCTGGTCACACGGCCTTGGCATCCACCAAAGCATGATTACTGTTAGCCTAGGCTCACTTCTAGGGAAGTTACATGGACTTCTTTGCATATCTCTCATCCATACTCGCCATCTAGGTTTAAAAGTCCCTCAACATTTGCCTTCTCTTGTACTCTTCTTCCCATTCTGATTTTGGGATTGCTCTCCCATCTCCACCCCCTCCTAGACTCATTCACTAATTTCCCTAGCTTGTTTTATGAAACAAATGCTCCCACCCATGTGATCCAGTCACACAAATTACTTCCACTTCTTTGGCTGACTTGTTCCTAAAGAACTGCCTCTCCTTCAGCCCTAAAAAAGAAGATTCTCACTCTCCACATTTAGCACTTCAGTCAGGATGTGGGATCAGACTTCAGATCACTGCACCCCTGTTTTTATTCTTTGAGAAGAGTGGTGTGTCTAACTTATCCATCATTCTGTTAGCAGTTATTAACACCGAATGGCCATTTTTCTATTATTTGTCTCTATCATTTTACTGTAGTCATCTTAAGAGCCAGGACTGCAAACCTTGGATATAACAGTTTCTCAGCATATGAATTGAATGAATGAATGATTAAACAACAGAATGAATGATGAACTAAAGACCATGAGTTTTGGTATCAAAAAGATCTGGATGTGAATTATGTCTCTATTACTCTCTGAGTGACTTGGGACAATTTGCTTAATTTCTCTGTGTCAGTTTCTTTGTTCTCTGCCAACTATGAAATGTGGATCAAAATGCCTATCTTTCAAGAATATTGTTAGAATTACATGAAGAAAGATGTACAAATGTCTAGTATTATGTAGGGTATATAGGGCTTCCCCAGTGGCTCAGATGGAAAAGAATCTGCCTGCAATGCAGGAGACCTGGGTTCAATCCCTAGGTTGGGAAGATCCCCTGGAGAAGGAAATGCAACCCACTCCAGTACTCTTGCCTGGAGAATTCCATGGACAGAGGAGCCTGGTGGTCTACAGTCCATGGGGTCACAAAGAGTTGGACATGACTGAGCAACTAACACTTTCACTTTCATGTAGGGTGTATAGAATAACTCTGTAAATATTAATAAAACTTGAAGGCAGGTGGGGGTGGGGCGGGGGAGACTTGTTGGACACCACTAGGGAGAACGTTGGCCAAGGTTTGTGACTTGGACCTCCCTTGGAAAGGAGTATACTGAATACCTTCAGGATCAAAGGTAGGTGGGAAAAAGGTAGAAAAAAGAAAACAATCATGGCAGAGAGGAATCAAAGGTCATTATTACTGAACTGCAAGTCCTCTGAGAAGAGTGCTGTGTCTAATTTATTAATGTTCCTTAGCATCACTTCCTTCGGTCTTGCAAGTTTTATTTCAGTGTGTGAAGCTTGAAATTTAAGGAAAAGCGAAGAAGCGATGTGAGAGGCAAATTTAAAATAGGTTTCTGTTTTTAAAAATCTTAAAAATCTCACTTTCATAAACCCTAAATATCCTACAATCTAAGTTGTTGCTAAAATTTTAGTTCAGGAGATTTCCCCAGTCCTCAGCCTTGCTTTCTTGCTTTCTCCACATAAACACAAGAGTCAGGATTGGGAACAAGAAAGCTTGATCTCGGAGACCAGAAGGAAAATCTCAGACTCTTCCTTCAGATCTATTCTGCTCTACAGGAAATCTGAAGCATTATAAAATCCATCCAACCTAAGTTAACACCCCAGACTTTTTCCTTATCATCATGACTTGAGAGTTTAAGTCTGACCACCAGAAATAGTGGTCACAGGAATAGCTAGCTCTTTGCTCTCTGCTTAAGTTTCCACATCATTCAGATCATTATAAATTTTAACTTTTTTATCTTGCTTTTTTCAATTATCTTTCAAGCACAAGCATTTCCATGCCATTAAATTACCGATAAACATGCTAATGTTTAATGTCTACATAATATTTTATTATATATGAGGATATCATAATTTTCTGAACATTTTCTCTTTTTTTGGACATTTAGGTCTCCAACTTTTAGTTGTTATGAACCATACTTTGAAAAAAACTTTTTCTTTCAGGCTATTTCATCCTAAACAAAGAAGTCCCCAGAAGGACAATCATTAGTTCAAAAGGCATAAAGATGTCTTAAGTTCGCTATACATGCCATCAATTAACTTGGATCACAGTAGAAGAGTACCTATTTCACTATACCCTTATCAGTCCTGGATTATCTTAAAAATAAGGGGAAACTTACTGACTAATTTGATAGATGAAGTGTTATCTATTTATAACTGACATTTATTGGGTCACTGATGGGGTTTGATTCTTAGCCATTTCATCTCCCTCATCTGTGAATTTAATTGTTCATTTCTCTTTTAAGATGTTAACGCTTTATTGATTTGTACAGGCTCTTTGTAAAAATGTAAATCTATTGTCTGTCACATTTATGGTGAATATTTTTCTCCATTTGATTTTTGCCTTCAACATCCATCCAACACACACATCTGAGTCTCCCCAAGGCATTGATCTAGTCATTAAGGATGAAAACAGACACAGTCCCTACCCCTAGGG